GTTTATATTAATTTTGAGTTTCTGGCTGTCTGCGCAATTTCTGTTGCAATAAAGGTAACAAAAGATCACAGATTTAAAAAAAAAAAATCGAAATCCCATGAAGACGTAATGGTTATGAAAGAGAAACTACACAGACACAACATATAACAATATTCTGTCACAGCTAAGTGTAAGAACATTGATCCCACTGTTTTATAATGATACTAATAATAATAGTATAGCACATCCCATACTAAATATGTAGCTTAAAGCGATTTATATTTAAAAACAGGAAGAATTATAGTTATAATAATAATAATAATAACATAATGTGCACAGCGTTGCACAGAAGGCAAGCCCTTTAAAAGATTAACATATAAAAACACATCTTAAATGCATAACAGGTCATTAAAACCACGTGATAACAACATTTTAAAGGTCTTCAGGTAATTTAAATCAGCTAAAAAATTATTTGGAAGTTACCAAAGGTAATTTGAATGAGCTAATAATAAAACAAATTAAAGGTCATCTTAAATTATGATTATGTCAGCAGTTTTTTTAAATATTTGTGCAATAAACAGATTGTGTTTCTATACAAATCAATGAATTTAAATAGAAGAAAACGTGTGAACAGGATTACATTACATTGCATTTAGCTGACGCTTTTATCCAAAGCGACTTACAATAAGTGCATTCGACCAAGAAGATACAAACTTGAAGAAAACAGAATCATATAAGTACATCAGGTTTCATAGAGCCAAAACATTTCAAGTGCTACTCAACTGGCTTTAGATAAGCCAGTCCTTTATTAAGTGCTTTGTTAGTAATTCTATCGCTCGAAGTGGAGTCGAAAGAGATGAGTTTTCAGTCTGCGCTAAATAATGTGTTCATCTGGTACATTGTGTCCCTGCAGTTCCTCTTTAAGTGTGGTTGAATCATAACAAAAACATACATCACAGTCCACAATGTGTAAAACTGTTTTTTTGACTTCACTAAAACCAACACGAATTGCAAGAAAGACAACAGTAACACAAAGCATCGGGGGTTCAATTATTATCAACAGGCCAAATACAACAAGTATGCAAATTCAAGGCAAATGTCCAAATTCAGCAAGGGGGTTGGGTTGGGGGTTGTCCGTCCCCATGTGTCAACCTTTACATTTACAGTCTGCAATGCATTAGTCAAAGTCAAAGTCAGCTTTATTGTCAACAGTTCTACATGTGTTATACATACAGAAATCTTGAATACAATTTCTCGCAGTCCCACAGTGTGACATAAAACAAGATACAAAAAGGGCCTAGATAAACGGGGTATAAAAAGTAATAAGTACTAGTTAATATATCTTTTTTAAAACACAATCCACAGAACTTGAAATGACATTAATGCAGTATTCTTTAGCGCAAAAGAGAAATTATGTGCAAAGTACAGTTTCAGTGCAGTAGCAGCGGAGATGGGTAGAAAAGTAACTGGTGCTGTATGAGGGAAGGTTGTGTGTGTGTGTGTGTGTGTGTGTGTGGGGGGGGGGGTTAAAGTCCAGGTCCATTTGGGGCAGGGGGGAAAGGTCAGAGGGGGGAGGGAGAGGAGGGAGAGGAGGGAGAGAGGACTTATTGTCAACTACTTGGTGGCTCGAAAGCAGACGGGCTAACATCAGAACCGGCCTTTCCACTGGATGACTTTGCAAAGTGTGAAAATTGCAGAGCAGTTATTATTCTACTTTTTCTGTGTCCACTGGGGTTTGTGCAGTCCTAATGAGAGTAACAGACCTGGTGCTGGATTAAAGATCCCATGTGCTTGACATACAGACTAGTTGACAAAACACTGGCAAGCATAGAGAAGACATTTTGTGTTTTTCATGAGAAATTGATCCGTTTCCATTTCTTCTCACTTTTAAATGGGAAGCCAATGTGCCTTTCAGTGTTTAAGGAATATAACAATCACAACCAGTTTCAGACTTGTCATGGCAAAAACTACACAAAGTTGAAAAAACAACTGAGAACAGAGAAAATAAATAAAAACAGCAGTCCTCCTGGAGTCCTCTTGAATGCAATATTTTAATTGTTTTTCTTTAGTGGATAAATATACTTTTACTGCACTAATTATTTTTATTATTAAGTTCATTTTCCCCGGCAAAAGCAGTTCACACAATTTTACTTTCAACCGGAGGGACAATAAACATGTTGAACCTTGTTTACACTCAAAGAAAGAGAAACATTTCAGGGTTATATTTATAGGGTATTATGTAATGGCTTTCCTGCTCCGCCCCACTTGAGATCATGTTTCTCTGTACAGTATGTACAGTGCAATGCGTGTGTGACTAAAAGGAGTTTGACACTCCTGCTCTAAAGCGGATACAATGGATAAGAGGGATCACCTTCTTTTCAGTATTGAGTACATGCTTTAAAAGATGAAATAGGGTACAATAAAAACCAAATGAATCCTGGGAAATGTTTGAGACTGTTACACAAACAACACAAATAGAGTCATAAATATAACAATGGTGAGCAAGAGAAAAACAGTTAAAGTAAGATGGATTTAGTCAAATAAAAGTATGTTTAGCAATGATATTGAGCAAGTAATAAGTAAAGATGCACACGATTTTGAAAACTTTTATTTTCATTTTTTATTATTTTGATAAGGGGCAGAGAGTGCATATTAATGAGCATATAAATACAAGACGTAAACATGCTGTAGGTTAGCAAACATACAGATTTACAGTGGGCAGGTAACAAAAACCCAAACATTACAAGTGGCAATATACAGATATACAATTAATAAATACAATACCTTGTGCAACGTGTCAAATTACAGGAATCCCAGATAGGTTTTATTGCACATGATGTTGAACCAATCTGCAGAGCCTCTATTCTTAGAGAAAGAGAGAGTAATACCTGGGCGACTGGGAGGTTGGCGGTTCAATTCCCAGCCCTTGCAGTGAAAATGGAGAGATGTGTGAATGTTAGTTTCCTGAGCAGGTGGAGCCTTGCGTGGCAGCCTTCGCCTCACTATGACTGTGTGAAAATGTTAGAATGCTGACATGTATATATGGAAACTTTTCTGAATGCAGTTCATTCACTGTTTAATATGGGGCAACAATTAATAAATGCAGTTAAAACATATGAAACTGTCACAGCGTCAGTGTTTACTGCCCCCTCTGGCGGTTTCATACGAGCAACATACCTGCCAGGGCAAGTCGAGGCATGACCTGAGACATGGGCACACACACACACACACACACACTAAGATGTAGCTGTGGAGACGGTTGTGTTTCAGTGGTCACACACACACACACACCGTAAGATGTAGCTGTGGAGACGGTTGTGTTTCAGTGGTCACTTGCAAACAGAACGGTGCAACAGCAGCGACCGCAGGTAGGACCCGTCATAGGATTGCTCTCTTTACCACTGTTTGGATTAGTTTTGATAATTAAATTTTACAGAGATGGAGAGAGATTCCAGGAATTGGTCTTCTTAATAATCTTTTTTTTGGCATTATTAAGTAGAGTACATAAACGCAAAGTTCGCTGGACCATCAGACCTTGTTTGGAAACAAAAAACTGTAGTCAAAAGACAAACATTTGTTGAATCCCATTTGAATTAGGAAATTGCAAATCAGAGAATTTTGACTCGGCTTACCTTAAGAGAAATTAGTTTTTTTACCTGACAAATATTCTTTGGTAATAAATAACTGAATTTAACAAACTGGGAGGGAATCAATCAAATGGGCTCTTGAGGGTTTGTTTAATCACTTAAATTGTTTTATTTGTATTTCTGTTTGAGAAATGCTCTGAAGTAGACGTGTTGTCTTTCAAATCATGGCAAACAAAAGACACATTGTAAAGCATAACAATGATATTCAAAAACATACTCAATATCCATAAAGCAAAATTATTGTTTCTCAAAATGATTCCTAGAAAATTATCCCGTTTGCTTATAGTTGTGTATTTATATTTAACATTTCTCTTCACTCTGGCATAAGCTTCAGCTTTAGGTCTCACTCAGCATCTCGTCTGCGTCCTGATGGTGAATGTTATTGGGGTTGCTGTGTAGGCAGTGCTGTTAGATGATTGTCTCTACACACCAATCACTAACTACACTACCAGTACAACCACCACCACACACAGCCATACTAGCTTTCGGACTGAGCTGTTAAAGAGGCCCCATTTAGATTTGTGGGGGGGGGGCGGGGGTTCCCCTTTCCTGTCGTGTGTTATACAAGTCTTTGTGCATATACACGTCTGCAAAGGCTAAAATCCCAAAGTTCCCTCCAGAGGGGGTATGCAACACTTGCTGTTCTATTGGCAAGCGCTCCAACACATTGCACGTGATAGGCTAAGGGGCGGGACATCTCTAAGCGGTGGACCAATCCCAACAGAGCCGGCCAGCTAACCAATCAAAGCAGACTGGGCTCTGGTTTCAGACAGAGGGTGAAAAGAGGTGCTGCAGCACAGGCAGTATGAGAAAAATAAAGAGCTTTTTGAACATTAAAGCATGGAGACATGTAGAGACACTACATACTGATATACACCTGAACATCAGCAGGAGAGGACTCTTTAAAGTAGAGACACTACATACTGATATACACCTGAACATCAGCAGGAGAGGACTCTTTAAAGTAGAGACACTACATACTGATAAACACCTGAACATCAGCAGGAGAGGACTCTTTAAAGTAGAGACACTACATACTGATATACACCTGAACATCAGAAGAAGAGGACTCTTTAAAGTAGAGACACTACATACTGATATACACCTGAACATCAGCAGGAGAGGACTCTTTAAAGTAGAGACACTACATACTGATATACACCTGAACATCAGCAGGAGAGGACTCTTTAAAGTAGAGACACTACATACTGATATACACCTGAACATCAGCAGGAGAGGACTCTTTAAAGTAGAGACACTACATACTGATATACACCTGAACATCAGCAGGAGAGGACTCTTTAAAGTAGAGACACTACATACTGATATACACCTGAAAATGTCCCCTTGAAAAATGAAATGAGAGGAAACGGGTTTCGATGAACCAGCAGAGCTGAGAATGAGTCATTTATTTCTTTTCAATTGACAGTTCAATGTTACTTTATTCACACTTACTTTAAAAAACACATTTAGAAGGGGGAATCATTTAAAATACTTCAATATTTTCAAAGGATTAAAAACACTTAAACATTATTAATTTAAATCATTAACACTCGATAATAAACCTTTTTAAAGATGCATAAACTGTCCTGTAACTTTTTTTACTGCATACAGGTCTACGTTGCTTTGACCCGGCATCATGTCGGCAGAGCAGTAACCCGATTCTGGTTCTAGGTCGACGGCTCACATTATCGGGACTTGCTGACCCAGTGGTACTTGTCCACACGAGGCCCAGCGAAGGTGAACGTGGCTCGATGGTTCTTGAAGCCTTTCTGGTTGGGGAACTGGGAAGGTGGACCTCCGGCTGGGGGAGGAAGAGGAGGGTACGCATCCCCAGCGAAGGTATTCCTCTTCTCCCTCAGCCAGTGCTGAGGGGCGGCTGGAGCAAACTCGCTGAACTGAGGAAGAGGAGCAAAGGGGGTTAGAGGTCAGTAGAAGACAGTGGGTGTTTCTCAATCTCGAGTAAAGCTGCTCCAGAGCCACTATTTCAAGCATACTACGTCATCGAGTGCCGCCGAAGGACTGTTCCAATGTCCAGCATACTTGGAAATCTGCCGAGCCCGGCGTACTTCGTTTGGAGAAATTTCGAGGCTGCACATGTGTAGACTCCGCGGTCATAAAATCCCCACAATGCTTTGCGCACGGACCAATTTCCCCAAATCTGTGGGGGAAAATGTAAGGCGGGGCCTCTCATGTGACGCACACTTGCTCACCTGTTCCACTCTTTGTTTTCCGAATGCCAGGAAGTATTCTTGCCTCGCTTCTGAAGCAAGACGCTCGGAAGACATGTGCTACCAAGCAAGCGTACTCGACATTGAGAAACACCCAGTAAAACATGTGAATCAAATGGCTACCAAATATATGATAGTGCCGAGTACAAGTACCTCAAAATTGCAATAAAATACAACACTTGAGTATATGCTTTCTTTCAAATGGTTTGCCCAATTTTGGAAATGTCTTCAGATTTGTGATCGCCAAGGCTGGAAAACACTTCAATGAGAAATATAAAATTATAATAAATGACCCTTTGTGTTTTTAATCCTACCCGGTAGACGCTGTTGGGGTTGCTGACGGTCGGGATGCTTTTGGGCTCTGGGTTGATGGTTGGGATTGAGATCGAGCTGAGAGATGATTGGTTGCTGCTGCTCATGCTACTCATGCTGTTGTTTTTGGTGCAATCCTCCTCGTCCGAAGAGCTTCCCGAATGGATGTCCAGGCTCGCCCGCTCAACGGCGTCGTGGATTCGGCGGGGAAATTCCTTGTCCATACGTCGACGGCTGTCCACCACGGAGACGCAGAATGGGGTGCCTTGTTCACCGTACCTGCAGAGAGGAAACATTTTTAGAAGCGTTTTGGTTTTTGGCCCTGTCAATTTAGGTTATTTGGGTACCAGAAGTGCCAATATTTTAACAAAAAGGCTGGAGCTGGGGAGATCTATGGATTGCTTTGCCTCCAACATTATCAAAATGTAGCCCTGCCCTTTAGCAAAGCCTACATTTTTATCCTACTCTAAATGGTAACTTGCTGTATTGGAGAACACGTCAAACTAGATATTGAGACCATAAATTAGTCAAAAGGAAAGCAATTGAGATGTAGGGTAATGGAGACAATATTTGAACAAGAGGTTGGAGCTGGGGAGATATATGGATTGCTATGCCTTAAAAAACAAACTGTATACCCTACGTTTTTGTCAATTTTACTATATAATTTACAAAATAAACTTCACGGTGAATTGAAAAGGATTTGAAACAAGAGATTGAGACCATAAACTCGTCAAAAGGTCAAATCAAGTGAGATGTAGTAGGTTCACTTTAAAGACTTAAATGTTTATTTTTAAGTGGAGTCGCCCCTTAGTGGCCATTAGCAAGAATGCAGGTTTAACGCAGTTCCTTTTCAGACTTCAAGGCTACATCCACTTCATGCATACAGCCTATGCCAAAAACATGTTTTTACCATTTATAAAAGTCAAGTTTCATAACCCAGCATCAACTTAAGGTTGTGCATGAGCACCAGTCTTTAGTAACAGTCATGTAAAAGGGACATTTTGGGGATAAAGAGGGTCGTCCTAGCCTCAATAACATACCTCTAAAAAAGGTAACAGACAATTCTCCTAGTTATAAGACTAGCAGCAGTGTGAAACAGTAAGTAATAATTACCCAGCTAATGAGAATTGGCAGTGAAAAGCTGCAGTTTTTGGTGCACACTAATAATTTTAAACTGATTCTGTACCGAGCCTTTCCAATGGATCTACCAAGCGATTTAAGCTAGAGACTCTGAAGAGCTGCAGTTTTTGGTGCACACTAATCATTTGAAACCTATTTATCAAGCCTTTCCAATGGATCCACCAAGTGATGTTAGCAGCCTGACCTGCAGGACACCTCTCCAGGGTCGACCCACACAGTCATCTCCTGAGGGAGGCCCAGGTCCTGGTGCCGGACAGCACTGCGTTCACAGGCCAGCTGCAGCACGGGGTCATGCAGCCGCACATTCATACGGAGACACCTGAAAACACAGCATAAAACACAACCCTGCTGCAGCAATATTAAGTGTGCAATATATACCTGGCTGCTAAATCCTCAGAACTGTTACAGGATGCGTTTTTTGTAAATTGTGTAACTTTATTATAATTTTTTGTATCGTTAATATTTATTTATGCATGCTTCTTAGTTAACATTAAGCTGGCTCCTTTCTGCTGTAACAATGGAAATGTCCCCTCTGTGCGACTGATGAAGGTATTCTGATTCTGAAGTTGGAGGTATTAAGGGAAAGGAGTTAAATACTTGGAATAAATAGATGGAAAAATATTCATGTCAATAATTAAACCGGACAGAAATACATTTATTTCTACATTTTTTGTTGACCTACTTTATGCATTTCTGTGTCAATGAGGAAGAAGTCCTTCAGCAATAAAAACATGCAAGTGTACAGAAATGTAAAGCTTAATGTATGATATTTATTTCCTATTGAATTAAAGTTTCTTTGCTTGCATTCATCTTTAAAACATTGCAGCATTTGCATTTTTCCCAGTTTCATCCAAACAGCCATTTACATATTTACTAATACATATTTTTGCTCTCCATACTATTGTCTTCTGTTGACAATGAATAATGTTTAGCTCTAGTTCCAACAGGTTAGCTGCCACCATTTACAAAAATAACAAGTTACCGTTTATACATATATGCAAGAGTATAGTTTAACAGTAGCACAATTAAAAAAAGTCAGCAAAATGACTTGGTAATGTCTCATCTAAAGTGGTGTTAGCTACCCTATGCTACTGATTGAGTAGGATGTTAATGATCAGAATTGAGCAGGGGTTTGTTGGCTGTTTTAATTTATCAAGACAATTTAATTAAGTCTGATGTAGATTCTTAAGTTTGTTTAATAGTCCTTTCTTAAAGCATTTACCTGTAGGCCTGTCCCTTCGTAGGTACGTTGGGGTGCCAGTGGTTCTTGTAGTTTTCAAACAGAGCTGAGGTGAGGGCCGCAGCAAAGCCCTCCCTGCCTTCATTATCCACACAACCATACCTCTTCACCAGCCGAGCAACAAAGAAAACTGCAGCAGCAATCTCCTCCTTCATAGCTACACCTTCTGACCTCTTAGCTTAGCAAAAACCTCACACAGTAGACTCAAAACTGTACTGTTAAAAAACCTCTACAGAGAATAAAACACGTGTAGGGTGATCCTACTGTTATAGAAAAACAAAAAAGAACATAAAACTAACAAGACGACAAACTGGAAGCCGGACAAGTTAAGCAAACATATTTGCTCCTGGAGCGAGAGAACTCAGCTTTGATTTCTGATGCTTTTACGCCAATAAAATACAATATATATCCACATATATCTTAATCTCTGTGTGAAGCAGCAGCTTGTTCAGTAGTGGTGGCCTCACACACATCAAACACTAAAAAGAGTCACTCCCTCCTTGGTTTCCCATGAGGTTAAATAAAACAGTTCAGCTGTGTGACAAGCTCACACACCTGAAGCTGGTTGACTTAATCTGTGTGTGTGTGTGTGTGTGAGTGAGTGAGTGAGTGAGTGAGTGAGTGTGATAGTGAGTTGAGTGATTGATACATTAAAGTTACAAACAGTTAAAACATTGTTTGAATGAAAATATTATTGGACCATCAAAGAACATTAAGAAAGGGTTACAAGAAATATACTGTCAGCCCTCTTGGACCTTACATTTATTTTGTATATGATCATATTGCTGAACTTTAAAAAATAAATACAAAAATGGACAATATCAAACAAAACTTAAAAATGCATAATCTAAAGTATTTTTTTTAACATATAAATCTGTGCATAGTACAACACCTGTATATACAGACGAACAACATGCATTTCCTATCCACAAATATTTAACAGTTACTTGTTGTGTCCCTGTAGCCAAACAGCTACCCTGCCTGGAGCTAACCTATAAGCTAGGTGGCTCATGCTAACAACAGTCAGAGAACGCCCCGCCCCCGATGACGTCACGATAGAACGTTTAAAGGCGCACAACAGCAGGCCCGCCTCAGCAGCTCATTTGCATAGAGACGAATAGAATGCCCCGCCCCCGATGACGTCACGACAAAACGTTCTTTGATGCCGTCAGAGGCTTGGCCCCGCCCCCGATGACGTCACAGCATTTCGCTCTGATGTGTTGAACATTCCATGAGGGTGACAGACACAGACACACATTGTTCACTTTGACCGTCGACATTAGCTAGTTGACAACCCAAACAGACATCACGAGCAGAAGAAAGGAGCTTCTTAATAGAGATTAGCAGAAAAACAGCATGGCTAATTTAAGTATCGAAGTGTTCGCTGTTGTAAAACCCCCTCCAATTAGACAATGCCACATAATCATCAACCATTATTTAAAGACTTTGGTAAAAAAGCACTGGCACACTGTGGAGTCTGGCGTGTATGACGAGCGTGGTTTGTCTCTGATGGTTGACATGTGTCAGCACGTTGTTGATGTGTGTGTCTACATTATCATGGAAGAAATTAGGCCGGTTGTTTCGGACTGGCACAGGAAGGCCCCCCAGATACACACTCTTGTAAACCCCAGGCATTTTTTCTTTGGTTTAGATGAGACTGATATCCTGGTTAACCTTCAACAAATCCTTCCAAAGATGTTCGCTAATGTTTTTAAATTCCCGCAAACGTTTCAGTGCGACAGTTTAGATTATTTCATCGAGCTAGTTGCAAGAATGGTGACGTGTAAAGTCAACTCTCGCATATCTGGGATAATGGACTCCCGCCCTATGCCTTCGACTCAAACCCCTCAGTGTAACTGCATATATTTCACCACTCTTAACTCCATGCTTACTCTATTAACCTCAACACTAAAATGCATGAAAACATTGGACTGTCAATGCACCTCGAGCATCAGTGCAGTGGTGCAAATAAACCACGGAGAGGGAAAGGCCCGGCGCGTCTTAGAGCACGGGCGCTGTGAAGTTACATATATTACCAACAACTCACAGGTCATGAAAATATTGGCGGAGGTCACTGAGGGTCGGCGTACAGATCTTGAAGAGGAAACAGCAACACGGTGGTGTGATGACTTACTCAGCTGGAATACCAGTAGTGGTCATAGTTGCAATTGCTCAGATCACAGTTCAGAATATACAGAATCTGAAATAAACAATATGAGCTCTGATGAAACAGACACACAGGAGCAATTTGAGGAAATGTTCACCCTTACATCATCTGAGAGTACATCATCTGAGGCATACAGTGAAGGCACCACATGTGGTTCGGAGCCATATGACGAGTTAACGCACAGACTGATCCTCCTGATGCTTGTACAGTTGTTATTGTGTACCACAAACAAAACCAGGAGATGGCTGCCAAGAGCAGATTTCATCAGAATTATCAAGAATCTGGGGGAAAAGATGCTGGGGGAGATCAGATGTGCTGACGTAGTTATCAGCCCAGACCCTAAGACTGTTCATAAGATCTGCAAGGCTCTGTTTGGAAACCTGTGTCAGCTTTTAGGCTCAGCAGAGGCGCTTCAGGAAGTCCTGGAGTCACAGGATCCCGCTGATAACGCTCTGATTATCCGGGCGTTGAAGACTTGTCTGACCGTGCCTGCTCCGAAGAAGAACATCTTCGTGAGGTTCTTCTCCTCTGTGGGCTGCTTCGGTCATAACTCCCTGTAGATGATCCCATCACAGGGAGAACATCTAGGGCAGGGGTGTCAATTTTATTATTATTATTTATAGAAAGTAGGTGTATTGTAGGTAAATTATGTTGAAAATGCTTTAAGAAACAGCCATCACATCTCTCCTAGGGTTTCATTTATTTGAGTGCAAAGTGTTGGCAACTCATCCCTCAGATTGATTATAATAAGGGGAAATATGAAGGGGATATTTCAAGCTTACTATGCAAATAAGTTATTGGTCTTTTCTTTATTAATTAAGATTTTTTTTTTTTTAATGTATGTATTTGAAAATTGGGTTTATTAACACGTGAATCCTATTGTGTAATATATGTTTACATATATATTTAAGAAGTACAATGTAAGACAAGCACACGTTTCATTCGGGGCCATTTTACATTATACTTTTAGAAGGTGCTGAGGGCCACAGTTTGGACACCACTGATCTGGGGCCTGCAGATGTTCCCAATGTTTTTTAGGAGTTTTTGGAGTTGAGACAGGGGAGGGGGGGTACATGTTTGGCTGGTTTGGGATTCGAACCGGGTTATTGTTGGTTATTTCAGCTAAAAAGAAAAGCCGTGAACAATAATTCACTGCAGAAGGAAATTAGCTTCAAGCTGTAATCGGCTTCTTTATGAGATTGTTTAACGCATTGGCCTTGTTTGATAATTACTAATAACTCTACTAAAGATATTTAGTCGATATTATCCAATAAGCTATGATTTAATAAGTGTTAATGTTTTCAATCAACTGTTTATTGTGTGTTATGTCTCTTTTCAATGTAATGTACTACTTATATTTATGAAAATAAAAAAGGTCATACTCTCATAATACAATAGTTTTTTCCCTGTTTATCTGCTCCATGTGATCTGTGTCTGGTGGGAAAACCCCACATTCTTAATTAATAATAATGTATTTATGGATTCCATTAGTGGTACCCAAAGACATTTGTAAGTGTCAGCTTTATTATTATTTATATATTTATTCAGTCTCTCATTTAGGTAAAAACAAACATCTTTCTTAGATGCAACAGCTCCACCCGGTGGTGACACGAAGACATCACACTGAACAAAATCGATTTGCATTCATGATTGAAATGTTTTTTAATCAAGAAAAGGTATTGTACCAGCTCGAATGAGCAAGACACCACAAACTGATACAGAAACAATCACAGCATATCTTTTATTTGAGTGAACATTGAATATAAAGCCGGACCCATTCAGTCAAAGAAATAAATTAATAAAATAACTTAAAACCTCCACCATCGAAATTCATCCCGTGAACAAGCGTGAAGGCTACAGACAGCAAACACACACCAAAGTGCAAACAAGTCGGGATGGCACAGAATCCTAAGTGGTGGCGAAAGACATCCGCGCCGGCTCAAACATCCACAGGAGGCAGAAAGGCTAAGGAGACATTTGTCGTCTACAGTCCGAAAACTCCAGACACTGCGGCACTGATCGAAGAGTCTCCTGCTGTCACAACTAAACCCTCTCCAGCAGTGTTGACGTCACTGACCAACGCCACTCCAGAAAATGAAAATGTGCAAACAAATGGAAATATACAAATGGAGTTTCTCCTCTTGTCACACTGCCACACAGATTTTCTAGTAAATAAAAAGTATTTATGACAACAGAATAAAAAAGGACTCAATAAGCCTCTAGGCATGTTGATAGAATCACTCTTTAAAACCCTTCTGGAGGTCGGTTCAGGATGCATTCTGGTCTTTAAAGTAAGAAATAATTTAGAAGTAATTGAAAAAAAATCTATTTTTCAAAACTTAATGTGATCAAGAGGAATGAGGCCAACATCTAAAATGAATGGCTAATTTGTTTTTTATTTAATCAAGTGTAAAGGCCCAGCCACACGAGAACGATAACGGTCGTATCCGCTACAGTTCTCTATCAGATAGACGGTTCGGCCACACGAGGCCGACATGGAAACGCAGAAAACGATAACGGGTCCCAAGGTGGGTAGATCTGGGGACGCAACGCTCTGGGGGGGCAAACGGCTCCGTGTTTACGCCTATACGATCATTTCCTGATAACGATGAATCAATAGCCCCGCCTCTCCCACCTCTCCTGCTCAGAGATCAGCTGCTGGGCTGTCAGGAGAGGGGGAGGAAAAGAGAGGCTCCGTGTTTTATTCTTATATTATTATATAGAGTCGTTATCAATTCTCCATCGCTTTCGAGCGGTCTCGTGTGAACGGACACGTTTCTGGTGCCTGTTGCGTGTAGACGGAAGACTTTTTTGATAACGATTGCGGTCCGTTTGCGTTATCGTCCTCGTGTGGCTCCAGAGATTGCTGCTGTTTGACATCAGACAGAGAAAAACGGCTATAGCCAGGAAAAATAAATAAAAACAAATTTAAAGTCACAAGCAGATTTATGAAGAATGTCTGAAGAGAAAGTGTAGATAGTGAGTTAAATTAATATAAAAGCATTAAATAATCAACAAAAAGTACAATATACTGAAAGTCCACTGATTCTAACGTCTGATTACGCTGGCTCTTTATCAAGCTCTCCTTCATACAAATAAAGTGCTTTACATTCATGGTTCGCTCATTTAAGGAGCTAAACAAAAGTTCCATGTGAGTTCCTCTTTTATTATAAAACACACAGGTTCTTATAAAACAAGCCTTGTAGGAGTTGGGCCACAGAGCAGTGTTATTTTATTTTGCAGGGCAACTTCTAAGCCAACATTAGTTTCATTTCCACTTTCTAGCCTTTTCTGGAGTAAACTCCTATCATTGACTGTTTACATGCACAACAAACCTTGTTCTGAAAAAGGCGTGTAAACGTAGTCACTGATGATGTAACGTGAGAGGTAACACATCATTCACCAAGGTTATAAACAAGGGAAGGAGTGAGGAGTTTAAAAATGATTAAATAACAAAGATCATGCCAGCGTGAGGATGTAATAGTAGGAAGAAAAAAAAAATGTAGGATTTGATCTGAGAAAATAACCTTTTTTTTCATGTATATTAACAATTTTGATGTTGGAATTTTAGTTTTTTTTCCTCTGAATATCACCCATCTCCCACCTTCTACGTATTAAAAAAAAAAATACATTAAAATACCGTTAAAAAAGGACTTCTCCCATTGGATAACACGCTTTAAAGCCACAGAAAATAAATCCCACCGGCAACCTGAAACAGAGCATAACCAACAGTTGCTAAAATAAAAACAAAAGTACTTAAATATGACTTTCAAAAGTTCAGTAGTGCTGGTTGAGTGAAAGAAAAAGCTGCACTCCTGTACTGCGCAAGTCAAACAAATGTGTATTAGTTTTGGATCCACATAAAGAATAACAAATACACGTTGTTTAAATGCATTTGGTTTGTTTTAAGTAGTTGGAGTTTCTTTGAGAACGTGATTCACAAATATCTTATCAACCCCGAATGATGACGCTTTTCAGCCAAGAGGTTCGGCTTGAAACAAAATGTGATTCAGACTATCTGCTCATTCATTTATCCCAGCTTGTTAGAAAACACATTTAGCATGTTCTGTCACCACCAGCTGCCACCTTCCTATCCATGCATGCATTCATCTGGACATGTGTGAATGACATTTAAAAAGATTGGATTGAGTTTCTGGATCCTGGTCTTGTGGGTTTGGAATGGAATGAGCTTCCAATACAGCAGCAGAATGTGAGAGTACTTCTCGAACCGAGTAACACACAAATTAATTTGGTTGTGAAATAATAATAATAACGAGTTGTCTTTTGAGGCTTTGGTTCAGGTTTTCAGATTGTTTCAAGTAAAACCTGAGATGCTCCTTAAAAGTATACTGTGTAACATTTCCTTATTAAAAAGTCTAAAACGATTTGACCTATAATCGTTTGGTTATCCCACATGTTCACCACACAGCCAGCGTTCTCTGACAGTCATACATGAACCTTTTCCCGGTTTAAATCCACACACTTTTAAAATCTTAATGGCTTTACTGGTTTCCAGATGTAATAATTGAGTCATCGTACATCTGGATGTGAAGCTACCACAGAAACAAGCTGAGCAAATGTTAGCCTTCAGCCTGTAGCCACCCATGTCTATTGGAGATTTTTAGGGCAGTCCCGAATACCGTTTTTCGGGGCTCCGGATATTCGGTAGTAATCAGCAGCGGATATTCGGCATGCGCTTCAACACGTGTATTTCGGTTTATTCACGGCATTCATTTTGTTATTCTACAGTATTGTTGTTTTATAGTTATTTGTTAATGTAACCCAATTTGTGTTCTTTGAAATTGAAAAGGATATTGCGTTGTGTTTGTTACTTTCGTTGCAGTTGTATACGTCTTAAGTGTAATTTGGCTTGGCTTCCTATTTTGTATGGACATGCTTTTATTTTGAAGGAGAGTTAGCGCTGTTGACAGGAAGTTGTTGTTGCTATGGAAACAACGTGACGGCGATTAACGGAGAAAAGTCATATCTACATATAAAGACGGAGAAAGTAAACGATAAAGTTTATGGTTAAGTGTTAGCACCCCCCGAAGAGGCACAAGCTCTTACGTTGATATTGGAGATTTCAATAAATTCAATTTGGCAGCAGCAGCGAATATCCGAATAACGAAATTGAAAACCGAATAGCAGGCCAACGACCGAATATTCGAATATTCGGGTACAGCCCTACTGATTTTAGTGACGTAACGGTCATAGTGACGTAACGGCTCAGCGGAACTCAGCCTGAGCACACATATAGACTGGCTGTGTGTGCTCAGGCTGAGTTCCGCGATGTCTCGCAGACCCCACGCAGCAACCAGGAAACGACACCAGTAATCCAGCTCACACTGTCCGCTCCTCAGCAGCAGCGAGCCCCGCAACGTCCCGCCAACACGGCCCCAGACCCCACGCAGCATTCTCATCTGTTTGTCATTACTGGTGTCATTTTCTGGTTGCTAACAAATGCCATTGTAACACATAAACACTGATGTTCCGCTGCAACGGTGGTGGACTCATCAGAACAGAGTGGGCGAGCTGACCAATCAGAGCACAGTGGGCTCACAGGGGGGGGGGGGGGGCAGGAGCTCCAACAAGCCGTGTAGGACAGAGAGTGAATACACATACTATACCGAGATGCTGTATGAGAAACCAATGTGAGTTTGGAACATTGCACGATATAAATATATTCTAGTAGACCTCAACAATGGAAACATGATCAGTAGAAATGGAACCTTTAAATGAAATCACTCATTTTCCGACCGCTTTCCATGCAAGAAAGGCTTCCTCTCACCTTTTCCACAGTGTTAAACTAAAAAGAAAAAAACCTAGTCTTCCATATTTCAATCTTCTGCTACAACCAACTCTTAGCTGCCTGGGGAGTGTCGAAGGAGGATGAGAGCGATAAATCACACTCCTTAAAAACTGTACAAAAAATAAATTAAACACATTGCAAAAACAGAACATAAGATTTGGATGAGCGTTTGATGGGCAGATGAGTAGTGTTGTACTGTATCATTGGTATGCTTTACAGGGAGTGTGGTCAACCTGCAGGTGCTCACACTTCTGCCCGACACAGTCTAAACAGAGCCAGTCCCACTTCCTGTCACTTAAAACGGGAGCGTCTTCAGCTGCTCGAAGGTGATGAAGAACTGAGAGAGAAGTGAGTTAAGGAACGTTTCATGACTCATAATCACAACAGTGAACAGGCTAAAATAAGCTCTGAAATATGAGCAACCTCGACTAATGCTAACTCTGGACTAAAAAAATAATGGGCAACTATTTTGAAATATTTGTTACGCCTTTCAAAAAGGGAGAATCATTTTTTCCCGCCTTTTTAAGTGAATATCTGTTGGACTGACAAAACAACTTTTCAACATTTGTTTTTATCTATGCTTATATTGTTATGTACTTGAGTAAGGGCATTCTTGTAAAAAAGAGATGGCTATCAGCAGGCACGTGCACACAGACATCAAAGTGGGCTTGAGCCCCTGCCCTTTTTCTTCCTCCAGAGAAAGTGACCTTTTTTCCCCCTTTTTTATTTTTTAAATAAATGAATATATATCTACCGCTGTTTGGACAGTTTCCCTTTCCAAAAATATATTGATTGAATACAAAATAAAAATATCAGGTCGGGAGATTAGACTGTGAAGTTCCGATGCTCTCTCTACCCTCCCTCCACGTCTCCTGCACAGCGGTGCGGACATCGGCAGTCCCTTCAGACAGACAGGTAGCAGCACCTCCCACTTTACTGTCCCTTCAGACAGACAGGTAGCAGCACCTCCCACTTTACTGTCCCTTCAGACAGACAGGTAGCAGCACCTCCCACTTTACTGTCCCTTCAGACAGACAGGTAGCAGCACCTCCCACTTTACTGTCCCTTCAGACAGACAGGTAGCAGCACCTCTCACCTTACTGTCCCTTCAGACAGACAGGTAGCAGCACCTCTCACTTTACTGTCCCATGTTATGCCGGCTTTTCTTGGCTTATTTGAAGCTGAGTGGAGATGAACAAATGACTAAGCTGCCAGTGCCTTGAGTTTACAGCTAATTAGCTAAAAGACAATAACAAATATAGTTAACTAAGGTAGGCTACTAGCTAATGGATAAGTTAGCTCAAGGTTTAGCTAAGGCCATTTATCATGGGCATACGGGCTAATGTGCTGTACTTAAGGGGAGACACTACAGGTGAATACAGTAAAATGTGTATCTAATAACGTCATCACAATCGCCACATTGATATGCAAATTAGGCGTTAACTAGTAGTACACTAGTAATAAAGTACTATCTTATCTTAATTAAAATGCGCTAATTTGCATGCAGTTACCAAGGCATTGCAGGTGAAAAGGATAAACCTCACAACTTCCCCAGATAGTTACTTACGTCAAGTCAGTATTTTCCCCTGAAATGTTATGTTTGAATGCAGATTAGCTTTAAATCTATAGATGAATTCAGACATGGTAGTATGTTTATATGTGTTTTTGGGAAGTTGTCTTTCCATTAGAATGAAAGAAAACATGGAAGAAAAATAGACCAAAATAACAAAATGTACAAGTACATGAAAAACCGATCTTTTTGCCTGAAATGTCCTTAAACAGTAACTTCATAATTTTGATTGTTGGCTGCTCATTTAATAACTATTAACTTTTCTAGTTTGTTGTCTGCTCTTGTGCGTAGTGAATACTAAAGAAGACCATTGTCTCTGTTAGCTGATTATTTTGTAGAATTCTGTTGAATATTAAACAATTGCGTGAGTGTGAGGGTATTAAAATAAATTGGTCAATAAGTCAGAGATGTGCAACTATATTTAACTTTTTGTTTTAAAAATGTTTTTTATAAATGATTATGGGAAGTGCCCCTTTTTCTCACTTGAGCACCCGCCCCCCAAAATGTCTGTGCACGTCCCTGGCTATCAACACCTTTTAAATACTTCAGATCCTATTTCATTTATTTTTATGGAATTGGACATTGTAAAACAAAGTTCCCCGTATTTCATCGCCACTTAACTTTTGGGATTAAACCTCCACTGTCTCCAAAATAATATCCCAGAAATCCTTTCCGTGTTTCCCCCCGCCCTGATTAAACTTGTTTTAAGGATACGATGATGTTCCAGGGCCCGAGTCGCAGCCAGTTGGGCCAGAAGCCCTTATAGAGGGCGAAGAAGCCCTCGTTCTTCCACGTCAGCATCAGTCCGTCCAGAGTGCCTTTGTACATCGGGGCTCCCGACGAAACTCGCTGGTTCATCATTCGGGTCCGAACCACGTCCACGGGGTTGGAGGCCAGCGCCCCCGCCAGGCCACACGTGAAACTCGCACTGTACACACAACCAGAAATTACACAAGAGGACCAAAGGAGGAGTTTCATAAAACAGGGTATATGCAGGAATCCTGAAGTCACATGTAAAACCTTTTAAGACCTTTTTTAAGACCCTTTCCATACATTTTAAGACCTCATCGCCACTTGGAGTTCTAACCGGTTACATTGGCGACACACTTTACCTCACATTGACTATATACAGTATTGATTGTAGTATCCTTCCTCCTTATCTTCCAACCATTTGGACGCAAACTTGCATTTCCCCATAACGATGTTGTTTAACAACCGGCGTAAACGGAGCTTCGCGCGCTATCAAGCAGTGAGCGTGCGATGTCCTGTTCAGATGACGTCAAATCCAACGGGATGCCATAAATAAACTGCACAGAATCACACTACACACCTACGCAATGATTACATTCAGGAAGACTGTAGAATACAACCTCTTTGAACAATTTATATACTTATTGAAAACTAGCTACAAAATGTAATACCTTGGAAAATGCCGTTTAATACTTTTTAATAGCCTTAATTTCGCTAAATTGATTGATAAACTTTTAATCATTTTTAAGACCCCGCGGACACCCTGTAAAAATAAAATCTATTCTGCCTAAAAAATACTGAGAAAACGAGTGGCAATTAGGTTTATATCAGGGGGGTCCAAACTTCTTTCACCGAGGGCCACATACAGAAAAATATACGAAGGGCTGGGCCGCTCACTAGAGGTATAGTGTCTCATATGTTCAGTGATAAGTTAGCCAAATCAATCAAATGTAGGTACATGATGCTTGTGAGTGTTGGCAGCTCATCCCTTGAAACAGAAGCTTCAGATTGATTATAATAAGGAGAAATAGGAAGGGTAGATTTCAAGCTTGTTATCTAAATAAGTCATTGGGCTTTTTGCTTATCAACTAAGATTTGTTAGAAAATGTTTCCAACATTAATTGACTGGATTTATTTGAAAAGTGATCTTATGGCGCATTTCCACTACAGCGCGGAGCGCGGTTTAAGCATGCTGTGCCGTGCCCGTTTTTGGTTGCGTTTCCACTAGGCGTAGTTCCGGCTAACGTTTTTTTTTTTCAGTTTTCTGGCTCTCTAAAATCGAGGTTCTTTCCGGGCCAACAACCGGGCTGAGTTTGCTAAACTAGAGAGAGAGAATCTCTGGCAAGGGGGCTACAACTACAACAAAATGAACATATTTGACCGTTTATTGTAATACACGTTTCAAAATGATGCCGAAGTAACAACATACTGATGCCGGTTAGTAAAAACCATGAATTAATGCTTTGACAAGTCTGCAGACAGACGGCAGGCGAAAAACCTTTTAAAATGCGTGTTTTCTGAATGGAGATCGGCTAAGCTAACGCAGTATATGCTCCGACCGTCCACACTCACAACGGCCTATACAGACATAAATAAAGCAGCGACTGTATTCGCCATGACACAGGCAGTCTGTGGTTTGTACTTGTTTAACTTTTGTCTAGTTTCTGAACAGATATGAGGAGCTGTGAGCTCTGAGGGCTAACAGCTAACGGCTGATGACGTTGGTTTTGTGTTTCTCATTGAAGATGACGTCACGGCTCCGCCTACACTGCGTTACTATAGTTACTGCCCCAGTTCCTAAACTGTAATGGAAACGCAGCATAAGTGAGCCTGGCCTAACAAGGCCTAACGAGGCCTAGCCATACCGTACTAAGCCGAGCGAGGCCCTGCAGTGGAAAAGCGCCATTATTAACACATGAATACTACTGTGTAATATATGTTTACATTTATATTTAAGAAGTACAATATAAGACGAGCACAAGTTTAATTTATGGGCCATATTAAACATTTTGAATTAGCTGAGGGCCTATTCAAAATGGTCCGCATTATTATTGCAATATCTGTGTGATTATAAAGGGTCGCCATCCCTGAGCTGTTAAACAATTAATAAACGTACATAAAGTGTGTCAGAATGGTGTCTCCCATGGCGCCAGACTTGAGGAGGTGCTTCTTCGTGATGTCGTAGACAGGAAGCTCCACCCCGACCACGATGGCCGCTCGCTGCGCCGTGGGGATGACACCCTGAGGAGGAGGAGGAGGAGGAGGAGGAGGAGAGGCGACACAGGAAATAAATCTTACTGTCAGACAATTAAACAACACATAAGATCATTTTGGAGAATTCAATTTATATAAGTTAAGATAAAAAGTTCTTTATTGATCCCAATTTGGGAAATGTTTGCGTTGCAGAAATATAAAAAGACATGGCATTGAACATTAGATAAATTAAAAGACTAGAAATAAACAATCGAAAATGTAAACGTCTCAAATTGAAATAAAATAGCATTAAAAAAGTAAAAAAGATACATGTGGAAATACAAATTTACAGTAACAAAATATAAGCAGGATATTATATTTACATTAATTGTGCAAGGAATGGATTATTAAATATTAGATTGACTATAAAAGTACAATGCACAGTGTGATTTTAAGTCCAGTTATCAAGAGTAAGTTCAAATGTACCCAAAGTATGGGTCTTTCTTACAATAGAAATAACAGATGTTTTGACTACTGGGGGAGCAATGAAAACACGTTGTGAACATTACCATATATTTTCAATTAAAATTCATTTCTCAAAAAGAATGAATGGGGCGTTATCTTGGAAAACAGAAGGCTTGCACCAATTAGTCAGTGAGGAAGTTAATCTCATATTCCTTTTTCTTCCAGGTAAAATATTAGAAAAAGCGTTTTCAGCATCAGAAATGTGGCGATTTTTCGGCTGCATCCCACAACACAATACCCTCCACTCACACTCACACACACTCACTCACTCTCACACACACACTCTCTCACTCACACTCTCTCTCACACACACACTCACTCTCCACAGGCCTCTGGTGCCCTCTGTCTGGTAGATGTTCATGAAGTTGGACATCATGCTGCCCTGGAGCAGACTGCCCTGCGCCTGCATCCTGATCTGGAACAAAAACAGACAAACAAAAAAATATGTTTACACCATCACTTACAACCCAGCACTTCCCTCAGTGGATTAAGGCCCCGGCTCCACGAGAACAAATACGGCAAAACGCATCGGAGTAACGCAAATGCAACCGCAAAAAACCTTCCGTCCCCACGCAATATACACCGGATTGTGTCAAGCTCCACGAGACGGCTCCGTTTACATCCAAACGCTGGAAAAGCTGCAGTACATATGCCGAACCTGTACGTGGCGCTGTAACTTCCTCCACAAAAGCAGCAACTTCCTCCACAAAAGCAGCGAAGAAGAATGGTTGTCATGGCTGCACTTCTGTTTATTCTCCGCAGTGGGGGCGGAGGGAACCGCGCAGAGTTTTTCGCCGGTCAATGTGTGTTAAAGTTTAAATCTTCATGCTTCCTCATGCAGCAGCTGATCCAGTAAGTAAACCCGACAGTAAAAATAAACATATTTATAACTAGTTTAGGTAGTTTGAGAGGTAATTAAAATAGCTAAGGGTGGTGATCTGATTTGAAGTGTGTGTTTTGCTCCCGCTGCTTCACAGCCGGAGGAGCTGCGTGTCTCCGTCCTGTCAGATTAGACTTCACTCGCGTTTATGTTCATATCGAGATAAAGATAAATAATCTGAATCTGAATCTGGTGGGGAGAGGCGGGGCTATGAAAACGAATGACCGTATAGGCGACTCCACGGCCTCGTTGGACCCCCCAGAGCGCTCCGTTCCCAGATCTATCCACCTTTGGACCCGTTGTCGTTTGCGGGGTCTGTTTCTACGTTTCCCTTACGGCGTCGTCGAGCTTAGAGGGCTATACGCATGAGAAATATGCGGATTCAACCCGTATTTGTCCTCGTGGAGCCGGGGCCTAAGGAGTATAACGGTAGATAGCAGTAGGGAGGAAGCCATTGGATTATTTTTAATTAATTGAAATATTTTAGACATTAAGTAGATGAAAAAACCTTCTTGGTGATTTACTAATCATTTTGACAGAACTTTGTTTTAAATCTTACAAGAGTTTAGGTTTCGTTTCAACATCGATGGGACACATCACCACTGTTAATTTGTTTTATCCACGAATATGGTGAAATACTCTTTATTTATGTAAAAGGAAATCATAGAATTCAGGCCGCAGTTGACATTCAAAATAAAAAAATATAATGGAATACATTTTACAACTCGGCATCATGGTGCAGTTGATTCAACTTTTTGATTTGTTTTTTGCAATGAAAGTCATCAATTTGACTGATATTGTGTTCATACCGCTGCAGTAAAGTAATCATACAAATGATGAGGCAAACCGTTGAACATTCACTTTGCTTTTGGAGTGAACAAAGCAAAAGAATGGTCAAAAACGTTATTAATCACCTTGAGGACGTCAGTGGGGTTTGCCAGAGACGAGGACAGCACTCCGGACACGACGCCACAGAAAACGTTGATGATCATCGTCTCATCTGGCAAGACAGAGACAAGAAATGATATTCATTTACAAAGAAACACAAATATCTGAGCAGACGCTGCCCATTCTTTGGGGCGTTAGATTCCAACACAACCACAAGGCAAACCTAAACCTGCATCAAAATAAACATTTAAACCAGCGAGGAAGAGGGGGAAGGTAAACATGAAACAGAAACAAAAAAAGGGCTTTGTTTTTTAACAAGACACACACATTAAAAAGGTGAAGTAATGTAAAACACTCTACTTCCCAATTCCCCTTACATCAACCCTACTTTTCACATTACATTAAGATTCATTATTGTTCACTGAAAGCACATTTGCTCTGGTTCATTGGTGCAGATATTTGAAAAAGCTGACTGAGCAGCAGGACAAAATGTATAACGCCACTAAAATCAATACTTAGCTTAAACTGCATGCGAAAGACTTTACTATAATGACACCAGACGTATATTAAAGGTCACCTATCATGCTATTTTTAGGCAATAGCATAGGTCTCAGATATATACAAATATATTAAAAACATGTCTATGAAGTGTTTTGCTCAAAATACCAAACAGATCACCCATTCTAGCCATGCCTCATATCCCTCTATTTCACTTCCTGTTTTAAAAGTGCTGATTTGGGGTATAAAGCTTTAAAAAATAAAAAGGAGGGGTCTGAGCTCATGCGGGACCCGGCAGCTACTGTCTAAACTAAATACCGCCGTGATGAAACGCCATATCATGGATTATCAAGGATTGTTTCTGAAACAGTATGGAGCTCAAAGGCTTTCTCTCTTGCCGGTTATACCACAAGGTGAGTTCCTTTTTATTTCCTGCTTCTTCACACACATGCTCTCCAGTACAGGTTAGCTCTGAGTGTTAGCCAGGCTAATGTCAACACAGACCATATTACGTCCAAAACAGTCGGGCATTGTTTCTGATAGCAACGTTTCTGATTGGGCCGTGGGTCCACATTTCAGATATTACGTCATATCGGACGCAAATCTGGATCAGCTCCGTTGTTCCCCCGTTTTTAGAGATTTGGGTACGGAGGAAAAGAGAGAGGGTTTTATTTTCTGACGCTGCGTGAGTTCCCTGACACACCGGGGACACATTTATGTATAAAAGACATCAAAAAGTGCATTTTGCATGATAGGTCCCCTTTAAGAGTGTTACTGGTAAAAGGAGTGGTTATTATTTTATTCTCCTACCTTGATCTACTCTATTATTAATTGTATCTGTCTGATGTACTCTAATTGGTCATCAAACATTGAAAGGAGCAGAGGGCAAAGTGGAATGAAAATGAGTGGGGGGGTTAGGATAGAGACAGGGAAAAGAGGAGTCTTATAAAGAAGGAACGAGTCAATGGGAAATGAGAAATTACAAATAAAAGAATAGATAGATAGGAAGAGACGGAGCCTTAGTCCCCGACTTCCTGTCAGTCTCAATGGCGCCGCACAACCTTTGATAAATGTAGCGCAAACCCATTTGTCTGATAAGTGAGCGCTCTGCACAGAGGATGAGGTAAGAGCAACTCAACTGAGCCTGTTATTGTTTACAATTAGTTTTATTGTGCATGCTGTTAGGGTTGTAAGTAAGTCAGGCTTCCCGCAGGTTTCACAAACTCAAATTTAAGACCTTTTTAAGACCTTTTTAAGACCACTTTGAATAGAATTTAAGACCTATTTCACGGCAAGAAAGTATGAAGGAAAATTGCTATGAAAGAAGAAATACGTCCCATAATGACTTACAAAGTAAATGTATTCACGTTCAACATAAGAACGATGACTGAACATAACAGCACACAGAACTGTGTTAGCGTGTTGGACAAAAACCAGAAAAAAAAGAACTGCCTAACCGTGAAAGTGTGTGTGTGTGTGTGTGTCAAAGTCAAAGTCAGCTTTATTGTCAAGAATTCTACATGTTGTACATCCAGAAATATCGTTTCCTGCAGTCCTACAATGTGACATATATACATCAAACAAAAAGGGCCTAGATGTGTGTGTGTGTGTGTGTGTGTGTGTGTGTGTGTGTGTGTGTGTGACAAGAGCTATCTTCTGGGGGGAACTGAAAGGCTATTGCTGTACTTACTTTGCAGACCGGACATTTCCCCCGAAACACATTTAGACGTGATCAAAACACAGAAGTACCATTTGTTACAAGTCCATATCTTCTATCTTTTCCCTTTCCTGTAACTACGTTTTAAATCATGTGTAGTGTAAATATAGTGAAATCACATCTAGAGTATATTTTGACCTGCATCCAAAAAGGTAGTGCCACAGACGATGCTCCGTATAGCTTTGGAGCTGTAAAACACAATTTAAAACACAACATGTACTCTCCATTGGCCAATATTTTTTGTTTATCGTTTTGATATAAAATCCTATAATGTATTTAATATGCATCAACAGTTCAACAGTGACTGATTTAAAGCTTCTAGCTGAACAGAAACCACGTTGACGCTTTGTTTTTTGAATGATGAGAGTTTGTGTGTATCCTTTTTAATTTAATATATTGAATTGTGCGTTCGATATGAGATGGATGTTGGACAGGAGGGGGGGGAAGCACTTACAGCTGCAGTATCCCCCCCCCCCCCCCCCCCCCTTGCTTCTCTTTCTGTCTCCACCCTTCCCTCTCCATCACTCCCCTCCTTACTGGAAGTCTTTTGTCTCTCATTTAGCTTGCAAATGAGTGCCGGCAGGTTAACACACCCAGTCTGTGCACAGCGCTTCAACACAGGTCGTCACGACGCATAAAACCCTTTGTTTTTAGTGGATGAGTAGCGAACAGCTTCAAGGCACATACAGTATTACTGCTGCAGGGGACATGACGCATTTTGAAAGCTGACCCTAAAGTTAGCATCGCACTGCTCGACAAAAAGTCAATAGGATTTTTCCATTGGATTTTTGATTATAAAACAATAAGCTCTGTGGAAAACCAAAGTGTATGTTACAGATTTTCTTTATAAATGAACCAGACAATTTGGAACATATCTGCAAAATCAGGGTATATGCAGGAATCCTGAAGTCAGATGCAATTCCTTTTAAGACCTTTTTTAAGACCCTTTCCATACATTTTAAGACCTCATCGCCACTTTGAGTTTTAACCGGTTACATTGGCGACACACTTTACCTCACATTTACTATATACCAGTGGCGAACCGTGTCTATCACAACTGGACCTTCTGTAGACACACACACACCCACCGCCGCCGCTCCCGAGAAGGACAAACAAATCAACGTAACACTGTAATATTACAGATCAACAACACAGATACGATTCTCATTTATTCATTTTATTACATTTTATTTATATAATTAAATCGATTTTTTTTTGTTTTATCTGAGTATTCCAGGGTATTCTCTGAATACCTTGAAGGCCCTGACGGTTCGCCACTGCCATATTCAGTATTGATTGTCCTTCCTCCTTATCTTCCAACCATTTGGACGCAGACTTGCATTTCCCCATAACGATGTTGTTTAGCAACCGGCGTAAACGGACCTTCGCGCGCTATCAAGCAGAGCGCGCAATGTCCTGTTCAGATGACGTCAAACCCAATGGGATGCCATAAATAAACTACAAAGAATCACGCTACACACCTACGCAATGATTACATTCAGGCACACTGTAGAATACAACCTCTTTGGACAATTTATATACTTATTGAAAACAAGCTACAAAATGTAATACCTTGGAAAATGCCCTTTAATACTTTTTAATAGCCTTCATTTTCACTAAATTGATTTATCAACTTTTAACACTTTTTAAGACCCCGCGGACACCCTGGAAATGCTTCAAGTTCTAAAACTGCACAGCTTTACCACTTTTAATTAAGATGTTCTGCACATATACACAATAATTACTCGTATTTCTTATGTATTTTTAGTACTGACTTCTTTTTTTTTTTTTTTTAATATCGCTTTTTGTCCAATATTTGCTATTACTTTTCCATGTTCATGTGTTTCACTGTGTTTATTAATGCACAACCAAAGCAAATTCCTTGTATGTGAAAACATGGCTCTGTGGAAAAACAAAAGGGGCATGATCCTACATATATTCTCCACAAATCAATCTCAGGGAAATTACAATAAGGCAGTTGTTGATGTTAAAATGTTGCAATGAGAAATGTGAATAAGGCACCTTTCAGTCAACTACTTTGGAGTCAATAAGCTAGGCTGCATAGCAACTATCTCACTGAGTTTGCCTCTAATGTTTCCTGGTAGGGTGTTCCACAGTTTGGGAGCAGAGTGGATAAAAGCAGCACCACCAATTTTTTGTGGGGGGACTTTAGGAATATTTAAAAAGACCTTAGTACTACTGTGAATTATAATACCTGTGGTTCTCTAGAAAAACACGTATCATCCCAATTTCATACATTCGCATGGACTTGGAAATAGAGTATTGCTTCTTATGACATCCCTCGCTTAAAGGTAGGGTAGGTAAGAATGGAGAAACCAGCTCGAGTGCGCTAGAATTTGAAAATACACGGAAAAAATCTGCCTCTTCCTTCAGACTTCCTTACAGAGCCCCTCCTCCAACACACACGAACGCGCACATGACCAATGAGGGCACAAGATAAGTTTGTGCACAGATGGAAGGCTGACAGGCAGGTAGGCCATCCAGTTATTTTAGCCGGGCCGGCTCAGATGATTGGTCGTGCTTTTTACAGTATTACGGCTTCCACAGATGATATTTTTTAATGTATTTATTGTCAAAGCACTTCAGATATTCATTGCTATCGGGATGTTAAGAGCATTCCATGGAATATAACAAAAAGTGTATCTGAAGTGAATTACCTACCCCACCTTTAAGGTGATCGTATGCAGACTTAGTAATTGTTTTAATGTGACTGTTGAAACTCAGGTCAGAGTCCATGACTACACCTAGATTTCTGGCTTTATCTGTTGTTTTGAACATTGCCGACTGAAGCTCAGCGCTGACTTTTATTATTAAGATAATACAAAAATATACATAAAAATGTTTAGCCTTATGATAAACGATTGTAACAAAGCTAGAAGAGGCAGGTAAACCCTCACCTTCAGGATGAGTGACAAACAGCCTCTTCAGAGAGTTGTAGGTCCCGATCTTGATTGTCCCGTAAGAGGCTTGTCTCAACAGAGCTGGAGAAATCCTGAACAAATGAGAGGTGAAACATGTTCAGAAGAGCGACACACACACACACACACACACACACACACACACACACACACACACACACACACACACACACACACACACACACACACACACACACACACACACACACACACACACACACACACACACACACACACACACACACACACACACACACACACACACACACACACACACACACACACACACACACACACACACACACACACACACACACACACACACACACACACACACACACACACACACACACACACACACACACACACACACACACACACACACACACACACACACACACTATATATATGTCGTTAATGACTGTGCAATATATACCTGTCTGCTAAATCCTAAGAACTGTTATAGGATGTGTATTTTGTATTATATCGTAACTTTTTATTTTACTTTAATACTTTTTAATGCATGTAACATTAAGCTTTCTGTGGCTCTTTTTCTGCTGTAACAACGTACATTTCCCGTGGGACCAAGAAAGGTATTCTGATAACAGTGTTCATGTGACTTAGGATGCAAATCAAATACATTTCAGTCGTATTGAGTAGAGTGAAATCAAGGGAGTTATGTAATATTAGCACTTGAATCATTCCCCACATCTGTTAAAGTCAAAGCGAAGCTCCCGCTTTCAAAATGAAATATGCATTTCCTCTCCCAGCGGGCTCTTTCAAAGCAATATCACAGTTCACCCACCCACAAAGTGTAACAGCTCTGTGCGCAAAGCTTTTCCTGCACATCATAATGAGCACATGCTGTTTCCATCAGTATGGAGCACGGGGCAAGCTTGTAGCAATAACAAGTAACCAGATTGACTTTACAACACATTGAGTTGAACTGAAAGGAGTCGCTCCCCGGGAACAGCAAGACATCGTGGTATTAAGAGTCTGCCGAAATCCTGATAACCTTAAACCTGCGATTGAATGAGTTTTGTTAAGCAGATGAGGAGTTATCTGCTAAAGTGGCACAGAGCCGATGTGCGGGGATGATCCATGTTGTGCTGACAGAAAATCCCATAATGCATTTAATGCTTTATCACTACCTAGGTTTGTTTAATACCTATCTACACAACAGTATTGAACATGGTAAAGTAATAACTAGGGCTGTCAGTCGATTAAAATAGTTAATCGCGATTAATCGCACATTTTTTTATCTGTTCTAAATGTACCTTAGAGGGATATTTTTCAAGTTTTTAATACTCTTATCAACATATGAGTGGACAAATATGCTTTATATGTTTGTTTATTATCATTTGAACAATGACAAATATTCTCATGAATATTAAACACAACAACCTGAACATTACAAATATTCGCTTCAATTCAACCTGGAACCTCTCTCATACAATAATAGTGTGTGTGTGTGTGTGTGTGTGTGTGTGTGTGTGTGTGTGTGTGTGTGTGTGTGTGTGTGTGTGTGTGTGTGTGTGTGTGTGTGTGTGTGTGTGTGTGTGTGTGTGAATGTGGAGACACTGTGATGGATCGTTGGAGCTATGTGCAGCTCAAGGCATATATGCTCGAACGGGAGCTGTCTGGACGCTGCAATCATGTTGCGCGCACTATCCGTGCTGAGTGTGCTGTCTGGCTACCTGCATAAAGTCAAGTGCTCGGCGCAGTTGTCGGCGAAATGTCGCTCCTCTGTTTTCATTGAAACAGCTCCTTATATCCGTTAGCTCAGCTAGCTAGCACCAGATGCTAACAACAACACGTAAGGTGTGCTTCGCTCGCGCCACACATACACACTCCCTCCCGGTCCTCCCGATGGCCAGTCCGGGCCTGCCGGTGAGCGTGGAAGTGTGGTCTGCCACAAGCGGACAGCAGGAGCGGGGCTGTCAGCATCAGCTTGTAGATGGTATTTTAAACTCGATGCGCTCTGAAACTACGTGGCGGCCGAGAACAAAAAACACATGCGTTAATCGCGTTAAAATAATTAGAGGCGTTAATTTTTTTTTGCGTTAACGCGTTATTAACGCGTTAACTTGACAGCCCTAATAATAACACATGTTTAAACTTTTTATAACTCTCATGAATACAAATACTTTCCCATACATTTCTTATACCTATAACTAGAAAGGTATTTGGAGTAGAGCTAATGAATTAATCTCCACCTGTGTGTTGCATTGATAGAAAACTCACCTGATTGTGACATATATTCATATCCTTTACAAACATCTGTATTTTTATATTGTCAGGGCAGTACAAAAAAAAGGGGATTATGGGTAACGGAGAACATGTTTTCCTGATTAAGGCAGCAGAGCATCTACATAGTAACACTGTCAACAAACAGAGGTATTGTGTTATTCTCAGATCAGTTCTATGTCTTGCTCTCGACCATAACATCCTATATCCCGTTTACTGTGCCTCAAATGAGCAGGATGAGCAAACTGGGTGTTAACAAAGAGCCTACAAAACATGAACATGATAAAGGCATCCTTCTTACCCAGAGTAGAGCGCTTTGAGGCCCTCCTCTTTGCCGATCTTGAAGAGGGCGTGGAACATGCCTCTGTAGCGAATCTCCGTGTACTGAGACTGACCCTGGACCTGTAGCCGGGTCTTAGTCAGGTCAATGGGAAACGTCCCTGAGGATTACAAATATTAGGACGAATTAATATAAAAAAAGTTTTATAGAAATACTTAAAGGGGACCTATTATGCAAAACCCTCTTCTTCATGTCTCTTCTACATCAACATGTGTCCCCTCTTCTTCATGTCTCTTCTACATCAACATGTGTCCCCTCTTCTTCATGTCTCTTCTACATCAACATGTGTCCCCTCTTCTTCATGTCTCTTCTACATCAACATGTGTCCCCTCTTCTTCATGTCTCTTCTACATCAACATGTGTCCCCTCTTCTTCATGTCTCTTCTACATCAACATGTGTCCCCTCTTCTTCATGTCTCTTCTACATCAACATGTGTCCCCTCTTCTTCATGTCTCTTCTACATCAACATGTGTCCCCTCTTCTTCATGTCTCTTCTACATCAACATGTGTCCCCTCTTCTTCATGTCTCTTCTACATCAACATGTGTCCCCTCTTCTTCATGTCTCTTCTTACATCAACATGTGTCCCCTCTTCTTCATGTCTCTTCTACATCAACATGTGTCCCCTCTTCTTCATGTCTCTTCTACATCAACATGTGTCCCCTCTTCTTCATGTCTCTTCTACATCAACATGTGTCCCCTCTTCTTCATGTCTCTTCTACATCAACATGTGTCCCCTCTTCTTCATGTCTCTTCTTCATCAACATGTGTCCCCTCTGTGGAAAGAGACTCTGAAAGTTTCAGGAACAAAGATCCTCTCTCTTTTTGTCCCGATCCATTTCTATAAAAACCTGTCTGAAAATGAGCTGATTAGATTTTGGCCACTTTATGATGTCATAACGATGTTTTGTCTTGTGTAACCATTAGTCAATCACCAACCAAGGTAACCCCCCCCCCCCCACCTTATCACCTGAATCTCCTCCTAGAGCACCATTGAGTTCTTTGTAACCACATCTCTCTCAGAGGGGCGTGGGGAGGGGCTCCTTATTTTCATCTAAAGTAACAGACAGAGAATCAGCACTTTGGAAACAGGGCTGAAACAGAGGGGATTATGGGTAATGCTGCAATGATCTGTTTGGTGTTTCAGCCAATCAGAGACAGCTTCTGTATATATCTGAGACCTGTGATATATTGATGAAAAACAGTATAATAGGGACCTTTAAGTTGTCTTGAAAAAATAAGGCCACACGTTCTTTCTGATATTTAAGTGAATTCAGTAGCAAAATATCCCTTCTGATTAAATTGATAATGAAAAACATTCCAACTTGCAAGTAGTGCAACTTTTAAAGCAAGCCGTCTGGATGTTTCTGTACAACATGACTGCTTTCTAACTTTGACATCTCAAGTTGCAGGACGACACATAAATAGTGCACCAGAGAACTTTGATATGTTTCTGGCTGCCTTTTTGCAACCAGCGCTAACATCGCTCACCTTTATGCTGATGCAGGATTTTCCTATGGCTGCAAATACAAGTGATTTAAAATGCTATTTGCATAGAACATATACTGCCATGGCATTCAATTGCAAAGGAGCACTCACCAATAGGGAGAACATGCTTGTAAGAATGCACAGCAGTAGAGGAAAAACACACTCCAGCCCAAGCTTTCTTTCATTGTACATGTATAATGACATTAAATGATTCTATTCTCTCTTTACGCAGCTTTAAAAAAACAATAACATTGCTGTGCACACATGTCTTTTTGAAGTGTGGCACATTATTTACTTGCTGCATGAATATCCTTTGGGAACTTAAGACTGCCTTTGTTGTTGTTGTTTATTGCATTTACATTTATTCACACTGCCTGTATTTGTTTAATGTTTTGTTTTGCTGTTCAAGAGCTGCCCAACCCTTTCATTTTAACATTTCAATTGTGATTCTCTTCTATACATTTATTGATTTATGCAATACTTGCTTTGACATTTATTGTTATGGACTTGTACACCAAGACAAATTCCTTGTTTGTGATAAAGTACCTTAGTACATAATGCCAATCTAGACCATCCTAATAATGAAAGTCAGCGCTGAGCTTCAGTCTGCAATGTTCAAAACAGATAAAGCCAGAAATCTATAGGTGTAGTCATGGACTCTGACCTGAGTTTCAACAGTCACATTACAACAGTTACTAAATCAGCCTACTATCACTTTAAGAATATATCTAGGATTAAAAGACTAATGTCACAGCAGGATTTGGAAAAACTTGTCCATGCTTTTATCTTCAGTAGACTGGACTACTGTAATGGTGTCTTCACAGGTCTCACTAAAACATCTATTAGAAAGCTGCAGCTGATTCAGAACGCTGCTGCTCGAGTCCTCACTGACACTAAGAAAGTGGATCAGTCCTGTTCTGAAGTCTTTACACTGGTTCCTCACTGACACTAAGAAAGTGGATCAGTCCTGTTCTGAAGTCTTTACACTGGTTCCTCACTGACACTAAGAAAGTGGATCAGTCCTGTTCTGAAGTCTTTACACTGGTTCCTCACTAACACTAAGAGAGTGGATCACTCCTGTTCTGAAGTCTTTACACTGGTTCCTCACTGACACTAAGAAAGTGGATCAGTCCTGTTCTGAAGTCTTTACACTGGTTCCTCACTGACACTAAGAAAGTGGATCAGTCCTGTTCTGAAGTCTTTACACTGGTTCCTCACTGACACTAAGAGAGTGGATCAGTCCTGTTCTGAAGTCTTTCAAATCAAATCAGGTTTTATTTATATAGCACATTAAAAAGCGATTTTTGGTCGAGCCAAAGTGCTGTACATGTAATAAAAACACATTACTACAATCACAGTAAACGACAATAAATTACAACAGATATAACTTAAAAACAAAATAAAAATAAAACACAAGGAATAGTCAGGAGTCGTGCTCCGCTCTAACTAGAAAGCCAGAGAGAAGAAGTGTGTTTTTAGTTTAGATTTAAAAACCCCTAGGGTCTGGGCCGACCTCACATGGAGGGGCAGAGTGTTCCAGAGCCTAGGGCCAGCTGCTGCGAAGGCTCGGTGCCCTCTGGTTTTAAGCCTGGTCTTGGGCACTACCAGCAGCAGCTGGTCAGCAGACCTTAAAGCTCTGGCTGGGGTGTAGCGCTGGAGGAGTTCAGCTATATAGGCCGGAGCCAGCCCATTTAGTGCTTTGAAAACAAATAAAAGGATTTTAAAATAAATTCTGAACCGAACTGGAAGCCAGTGTAGTGAGGCCAGAATAGGGGTGATGTGGTCACGCTTTTTGTGGCCAGTCAGCAAACGTGCAGCAGCGTTTTGGACTAGTTGCAGGCGTTTAATTGAGGCCTGGTCCATACCCACATACAGAGCGTTACAATAGTCCAGTCTTGAGGTTACAAAGGCGTTAATAACCCTTTCTAAGTCATTAAAAGATAAATACGACTTGGTTTTGGCCAATAGTCTTATTTTAAAAAAGCAGGATTTTACTACGGTGCTGACCTGCTTGTCAAATTTAAAAGTGCTAGTGAAGGTCACTCCAAGGTTCATGACCGAGGGGAGGATGTTTTTTTTGGATAGAGCCCAGAATATCAACCGGAGAGGCTGGAGGTTGCGGTCCAAAAAAGATGACCTCAGTCTTGCTCTCATTGAGGTTGAGAAAGTTTTTGCTCAGCCAGGATTTTATCTCTGCTAAGCAGAGTAAGTATTTACACTGGTTCCTCACTAACACTAAGAGAGTGGATCACTCCTGTTCTGAAGTCTTTACACTGGTTCCTCACTGACACTAAGAAAGTGGATCAGTCCAGTTCTGAGGTCTTTACACTGGTTCCTCACTAACACTAAGAAAGTGGATCAGTCCAGTCCTGAAGTCTTTACACTGGTTCCTCACTGACACTAAGAAAGTGGATCAGTCCAGTCCTGAAGTCTTTACACTGGTTCCTCACTGACACTAAGAAAGTGGATCACATCACTCCTGTCCTGAAGTCTTTACACTGGTTCCTCACTGACACTAAGAAAGTGGATCACATCACTCCTGTCCTGAAGTCTTTACACTGGTTCCTGTGTGTCAAATAATTGATTTCAAAATACAGCTGCTGGTTTATAAAGCATTGAATGGTTTAGGCCCAAAATACATTTCCGATCTCCTGCTAAATTATGAATTATCCAGAACTTTCAGGTCTTCAGGGACGGGTCAGCTTTCTGTCCCCAGAGTCAGAACTAAACATGGAGAAGTTCAGTTATTATGCTCCAAATATCTGGAACAAACTCCCAGAAACCTGCCGGTCCGCTACAACTCTTACTACTTTTAAATCCAGGCTGAAGACTTGTCTTTTTGCCGCTGATTTTAATTGAACTATTCACATCTTAAACTGCACTGTAACTTTTATTCATGTATTTCATCTTTTAATGTTTATTTTATTATCTTTGCTTTTTAATGACTGTTTTTAAATGCCATTTTCTTAATGTCTTTCATTTTTGTAAAGCACTTTGAATTGCCTTGTGTTGAAAGGTGATCTATAAATAAACTTGCCTTGCCTTGCCTAAAGCAAAACCAGTTTGTACACATTTTTAAAGTGTGTTTCTCCTATGCCTGCAAATAAACAGAAATGCAAGGACCATGCCATGGAAAACAAGCGTTTAAAGCAGCATAACAGAGGACGGTGAGTATCTGCATGTTGTGGTGCATCACGTAGCCTACCGAATTCTGCGACAATCGAGGCCATTCCTCCATAGATGAACGGTTTCCAGTTCAGGTTGGACATCTCTGCAGATTCAGCTTCTGCCTCCACCTGCTGCAGACCCGCTAAAAACAAGAGCAGGAGGCCCACAAAGAGGTCAACACAGTGCTGCAACTTCAGACAATACAACATGGCGATACACGATGAGTTATAATAATGCTACAGATGAACGAGGCTCCTCAGCATCAGCATCCCCACCGTACTGCGCCGGAAAGAGATGCCCGCTGAGCCCAACACCGCGGAGAGAGCGGTCATATTTGTTGTGCGGGTTGCTATTGGCCGCGAGAGCTGTCAATCAAGAATAACGCGATCCGATTGGCTGGTGCGCCGGGGGAGGGCAGGGATTGGTCTGTGACAGCAACAGTGTCACGAGAATTACATTTAGTTGTATATTGTTCTTTGGGCTGAATTCAAACCACATTTTAACATTTTAACCAAGAACTAAAACAATATAGTACCACGATTAAAAACAATTATGAATAAAAAGTCAATCGAAACTGACAAATTGTGCATTTAACAAATATTTAATCTAAAATATGAAAATGTATTTTCTCTTTTTTATTTACTTATGCAATTGTTTTATTGCTTTATATATCTACCCCTGATGTGAACTTCTTGTATACAAATAATAGGATGTTCATATATCTTGAATACAAAAAGTAAAACAAATATATATATATATATATATATATATCATTTTCATATGATCAAGACAGACCCTACCTTATTGTTAATATCGAAAACACTATTTTCAGTAATGATTTAAGATAAGATAAGATAAGATCTTTAATTTGTCATTGTACAAGTACAACGAAATTACAATATGAACTCAAGGTGCCAACGCGCAACAAGACAATATAAAACAAGACAATATAAAAACAAGAAATGGGACTTAAATAGACATGATAGGGAATATGTACATAAATAAATAATAAATTAAATTGCACGGTTCCCCTCATATTAAACATTTAATACAATTAAAATAAGGTCTAAATTGCAAGATTTTTTGATTAACCCTAAATAAGTAGGAAACCAGGGAAAAATGTGTTTTCTAATTTGCTTTCTTTGTGGAGGATATAACACATCAATTTAAGCAATGATTACAAATGTAAAAAATGAAAATAGTGTCGTAACGGTTGTTTTTGACGGTTAGTTTGAAACTGCTAGGCTTAACGGTCTAACACTTGTGGAAATTAACAGCCAGCTTGATAGCGAGTTAGCAACTAGTTGAATAAAGCTAACATGTCACGTACCTGGAGTGTAGATAAAATCCGCAAAGGGCTATTCCACTTGGTTTCCCATGACTAAAGAGGCCTACGTATACGTGGCTTGACTTTTATGAGAGTGCAAGCAGAAAACTTATCGTCTGCTGTTAGCTTCTCATTTTCAGCTAATGTCAAATCAAGCTTCTTCTTCTATGGTGTTAATTTGGGATTGGCAAACTAGCATAGAGGTGAATTACTGCCACCTACTGGACTGAGTGAGTAGTGTGGATATTATGTAGTGGGAACAACATTTGTTTTGCTGTTTTTTGCTTTTGTATTTTGCAAGACATTTCAAATATATTTGTTGCTACCTCATGCGCTGTGAGGAGACACAGTTTGTTAGTTTCTAGCGGTAATGGGTTTGTTAATGTTTTGTCCCTATGTAATTTTACCAAAGATGAAAGTAAATAGAATCTTTCTATAACATGAAAAACATCTTAATCCTATCTTCTGTAAATATATAGTTAAACATTAGATGTTGTAAAAACGACACAGAGGCTTTTTAAGAAAATGTATGTTTTTATTGTTTGGAATCTGTTTATATATTCTGACCTGCTGTATTTCCTTACATACTTAAGGAGAAATAAGATTTTGGAGTAATGTCATCAATCACATCACCTCAATACTGTCTATTGTAAAGGTTTTTATTATAACCCATGTGTGGAGTCACTTATCATGGAGTGACTGTTAATGCCTGGTGACTAGTGATGCAAAGAGGTTACACAAATCCAATTTAATCCAACATTTTGAACCTGTCTTTATCCAATCTTCAGATTTAGGTTCTGGAAATATATGCAAATTATGTCACATTTGCATATCAAAACATAACATTTTGATTACAAAAACTATTTGTATTAATGTAGTTAATCAACTGAGGAGGTTTCATGGCGATATTTACCCTAAAGTCAACAAAAGTGTCTCTTGTTAAAATTCTTTGCAGAAGCTCACATAAAACCCTCAAAATGTATTTCAAATATGACTGTCCTGTCCACCTCATAACCATCTCACACAGCATCTGCCTACAATGTTAATCTTCACTAAAAAAACATTTTCAGATATTGACAAAGTAATGCAGGGCAGTTGAAGCCCAATTAAGAGTTGGTGGAAACTTCACGTGTGGAAAAACGTGGAGTGATGCCATTCCTCTTCCTCTGGTTCTTCTTCTTCTTCTTTTCATTAGCAATGCACTACTGAAGTACATGCTTAATGACAGGCACAGTGACCGGTGTCTAATGACAGGTCCCACATTATTGTTATGAATCCAGACAGTAGTGCTGTGGATTAGAGAGTGGTGCGCAGCAGCCGAATGACACGCTGGTAAAGCTGCTGGACGACTGACACAATATTCCTGAGAAAATCAAGAAGAACAAGAAAGAGAAATAAAGAGGGAAGTGGTTAAAAAGAACTACAATCACCTCATCACACCTGTATTCCTCCACGTTGCAGTTTTCAAGCATGCCTTTCCAAAGAAGCATCACTTATATCCTATTAGACATTTGTGTAAAATAGTCCAAATTGCCGTTTGGGCTAAATTCCTTCACCCATATCTCAGTTGTTAAAATGATTCAGCGTCACAACAAGGCGGGAAAACCGCCAAATGTAACTGGATACAATATGAAATTCTGTTTGTTTTTTTTAACTATCATCGTCCCCATTAGTCAACGTGACACACACACACTTTGGGAAAATAGGGTCCAAGTTTAAACATCTCAGAATGATCCTCTAAGGGAAAGTGCAGCAGAGAGGGAAAAAGTAAGAATACTGGAAAAACACCCCCTAAATACTCAGAACCTGTGTAAGACACAAACTCACCGAGCTCCGTGGGAGAAGCAGCTGTTGCGGTTTGGGTGGAGGCAGAAGAGCGAGGCCACGCAGTAAACACAGCACAACAACATGGACAGCAGCCGTTTCTTTAAGGACATCTTCAGTCTAGAAATACACAAATGCAATTACCTTTAAAATGTCCACACAAACTTACACTTGCACAAAGCAAAATAACACACTTTTTGTATTCCAAGATCCTGGCCTAAAAGTAAAAAAATCTATATTTCAGAAGTGTAAATACATTATTTATATTATTATTTAGTCTTGGGCCAGATTTACAGGACATGTTGAGGCTCTGCTTAAAGAACCATGGAAGTTTATATTTGTTTTTCTTAGAAAAGATCCAATCACAAAAACAAAGGGGCAATGCTGGTTTTGATATCATGCCATTTTTTTTTATTCGGCAGATTCAAATAAATGCAGTCACTATTGACAGTAGTTTGCTGTCTAAAAACCCTGGAATAGTGCATGATGACCCTTGATGCCCCGATGGTGATTGTCTATGGACAAATTCAAAAGGTCTGCAGTGTTTTGACGGTTCAGCTCGATAGGAACATTGGCTAAGGTAGTGCTTAAGTTCTCAATATAGAAAACCAAAAAAGCGATTTGATTAGAGCTGTAACATGCATCGGAAACTTGGCAAAAATGGAAATACAAATCTTCTTGTCAGTTAAGTTGTTTTTCAATAAATAAACACAACCCTGAGGTCTCTGATATAACTGAAGCTCAGCTGCAGGCCACGTGGGACACAGCAGATCCTCCAAACATCCCTTTCAAAACATCCTCACCTTAACAATCCTGTTGAGAAGAACTCTTTGAACTCTCCTTCAGAAACACACACTTAGAAACAGGTCCCAGGTCCAGGTGGATGGCAGAGGTGTAAACAGGCCCCGGGTGCTGCTGGGCACCGGGCACAATAACTGCTGACCCACGCTTTGTTTTGAAACGTCCTGAAAGGTCTAGCAGGGGTGAATAACATTCCCACATTGTGTGTCTATGGTTTGTTGGGAGGGAACTAGGGAAAGGGGCGGGGGGGGATCTTTCCTCCCAGGTTGCTTTAATAACCCTTAAACTCACACTGAACCTGAAGCTGCTCTGCTAGCTGGCGGCTGGGACTGTTTCGTGATGTCTGAAGATGTGTAAACCCATTTTGTTTAACTTTCTATATCTTTCACTCAATGCCTTAGAATCAACTACTTATTTGAAAATAAATGCACATTTTCAAATCATGGCCTTAATTTACAAAATGTCAAGAGACTCAAAATGAAAGAGAAATAAACAAGTAAAGAGAGACACAAGGATGAAACAACTCCAAAACATATAATGGCTACAAAGAGACAATAAACAACAACAGAGACAACAAAATGACTCAGCTAGATGCTAAATGACCACAAAGTGACTTAAAATCAATACAGAGAGTTTCAAAAGTAAAGCAAAAAGAATAAAAGGAGACTCAAAAAGACGACAAAAAAACCCTCAAATGAGAAAATAAATAACAAATGACTTCAGAAAATAAAAAAAGACTAAAAACAACTACTAAAAGTGGCTACTAAAGTCTGTGTATCTTGCCCTTTTCATGTTGTTCTATGTCCTTTGCTGCTGTAACATTTTAAATGTCCCCTCATTGTGGGGCTATTTAAAGACAATATTATCTTATGAAGCTCAGCGTAAGTTCAATCAGGAAGACCAAGCTCTTCATTCAGATTGCACGTCACTTCATTACACTCTCCTCCCTCATTAAGTGATCGGGGGCGTCACTCCCCTAGCTAACCAATCTCTCCTCTCTCCATTCTCACAAGCCTATCATAGCTCCCGCTAATCCCTTTATATCTGCTCTTCCCTCTGTCAGCTGTCATTTCAGGTGACAAAACGCAACCCTCCTCCACCCCTTTCGCCTCCCGTCTCCTACAGGACCAAGCTAAACCTTCTCCCTTCAGTCCGTTCCCACCTACTTATCACCACCACCAGTGTCTAGACCCCGGGGGGTTTCATCGGAGCGGTTCTTCCCCCTCCTGAATGATTATCCTGCAAACTGGGGCCTAATCGCCAAACACCATTTTATTCTCTTGTTATAATTGTGGCAATCATTATTACATTCATATCATGTGTCCCGGTAATAAATATGTATATACATCAACATCTCTCCTGATTGAAATCTTATAGACCGCCCAGGGTCTACAGCCTTGCTTCAGCTCAGTAGACTGCAATTTACACAGCCATGCTTTTGGCTTAATGTAATGTATCTGTATGCAGTTCCCTTATTCATCCTTTTTACATCCATGTTAGATAGCTAGCTAGATTGTTAAAATGTTCACTAATTAATTTAAGGGACATTTATTTCTGTCTCTAGGTTAACTTGTTTGTTTACATGTTAGCTCTGTGGACATTTGTCTGGCCTTCTGGAAGTGAGAGTAACTATAACCTTTTGGCATGTGGTTTAGCATGGAGTTATATTTGATATGCTTCAGTTCTTTGTAGTTCCTCGAGGAGAAATCTACACCAAGAGACACTACAGTTATTTTATGTCCTTATGAGGTTTCAGGACATTTTCATCCTGTCACTAACATCAGAGTGTGAGAGAGGTGGGGCTACAGAGGGTGAACATAAGTACTATTTCCTATAGAGTGGTGCACTGATGATGCATTTGTGTATGCTGACCCAGGAGTTAGCTTCACAAGGGGTCACTTGACAAAAACCAAAAGGGATTTCTCCATGTGATTTGTGATTATTGCAGAAAATAATCTCTTTGTCAAATAAACGTTTCTGATACTCACACGTTTTGATAGCAGGATAATCTCCACAAAATAACACCACTTTATGATTGCAGATCACTATATTTGTCATCCCCCTCCTGTGCAGCGATAACCACGTATCTCCAGATGATTTTGAATGGTTAAGATGAACTAGGATCAAGTATTTATTTATGTGTTGAGGCAGTTCTCCTCTTTAAACTATATGCCTTTAAAAGCCTCTTGGATCAGCTGGAAAATGCATCGTCACAAAGCTGTTTATCTGAAAAACTCACGAAAAGTTGACTTTTTAGAGATTCGTGGTTCTCACAGGACAAAGCTACACACATATATATATCTCATAGAATCTGCAGTGCTGCAGAATAAACAAACCAAAGGAGTTCAACAAATCTAACAGGCATTGATGCAGCAGTAATACTATTCCACTAAATGTTTTATATAACATGGAACAATATACTGCACAGTTACCACTAGAGCACCCAAAACAACCTCACAAGTAAGGTTTTGAATGCAGGATGTTTATTGTTTTTTTTCACTCTGTGAGAGCAACTGAAAATAATCCCTGTTTGTGTTCCTGTCCAGGTGATGAGGCTGGTTATGAAACAAAGGGAGGAGCTGCAGACAGGGAGGGACGTTGAAGGTGAAATTATGCCAGACTCCATTTCACACTTCGACAGAGCAGCAGGAGGAAAACAGGGTGAGTGTTAACAAAAGGCTCTGCTGGATTTTAAAGACATTAATCATTTCATCTGTTATACTGAATGTCAGAAAATAATCTGTAAACAAAAATATATACTTCCTGGAGTCGAAGGGGACATCTTCAAATGTTGTGAACCTTTGTTATTTCCTGCTTCCTCATTCATCAGAGTTATATAACATGTAACAGCACAGTCAGAATGGAGAGCAGCCCGTCTGAAGTCTGACTGATTTGTTTTATTTAAACCAAGTTTATCATTAGGCAAGGCAGGTTCATTTATATAGCACCTTTCAACACAAGGCAATTCAAAGTGCTTTACAAAAGTGAAAGACATTAAGAGCATTAAGAAACATATTATGAAATGGCATTTAAAACATTCATTTAAAAGCAAAGATAATAAAACATGCAGATACTCACCGTCCTCTATTATGCTGGTTTATACCTTTGTTTTCCATGGCAGTGCATGTGCTATGCATATTGTCCTTGAATGTCTGTTTATTTGCAGGCATAGGAGAACAACACTTTTAAAATGTGTACGAACTGGTTTTGCTTTAGGCAAGGCAAGGCAAGGCAAGGCAAGGCAAGGCAAGGCAAGGCAAGGCAAGGCAAGGCAAGGCAAGGCAAGGCAAGGCAAGGCAAGGCAAGGCAAGGCAAGTTTATTTATAGATCACCTTTCAACACAAGGCAATTCAAAGTGCTTTACAAAATGAAAGACATTAAGAAAATAGCATTTAAAAACAGTCATTAAAAAGCAAAGATAATAAAATAAACATTAAAAGACGAAATACATGAATCAAAGTTACAGTGCAGTGTAAGATATGAATAGTTCAATTAAAAGCAGCGGCAAATCGTACTTCACAGCAATACTCCCTTCCATACCAACCCTGCTTTGCCAGGTGCACTTAGAGATGGGATAACTAAGATGTGGCACACCCAGGGAATCAAAACATTTGGGGATCTCTACGAGAATAACTTACTTATGACCTTTGGACAGCTGTGTAATTCCTTCAGCCTCCCAACTACTAATTTCTTCAAATATTTGCAAGTCAGACACTTTTTAAGCACACTTCATGGGGAAAACTCCACTCCCTTAAAGTCTCTCCGAATTGACAATGTTCTAAAAGGAGTTAAACACCCCAGAGGTATACTTTCCTTGACATATAACAGCATTCTGGCCTTCACAGAGGTTAAACCCCTGCATTCTAGGACCAAGTGGGAGCAAGACCTGAGTTGTACCTTTGGAGACTTAAAATGGGAGTCATTATGTGAGGAGGCCCTCACTTTCTCATACAACAGCCGACATGAACTTTTGCACTTTAACATTATTCACAGAACCTACTTTTCACCAGAAAGACTTCATAGGATAAATCAATCAATTTCAGATCTTTTCCCTAGATGTACTACAGAGACAGGTAGCCTAATTCACATGTTCTGGGATTGTAATAAATTAAAGCACTACTGGGGGTCAATATGGGAGATTCTTAAAGAGATTTCTGGGTATGAGATTCCTTGTACACCTAAATGTCGCCCTGTTAGGCGACATTTCTGACATCCCTTCACACAAAAGGAATAAGGTGCGCCTAATCAAACTGGCCATGATTGCTGGCAACAAATGTATTGCTCTATTATGGAAGAGTGCAGAACCCCCCCCCCCCCCCATATCCATGTGGCTCAAAGAAATCTCCTCCTACATGATGTGAGAACAAATTATGTTTAATCTTAAAAGAAAGCCACATCTCTTTGATAAGTGCTGGTCTGGCTTTAGGAATGATATAGAAAACATCCAACAACCTATTGTAGGCTGAAGAAATGCTATGACAAATACACATGCATTTGCTGAAGCAAGTACAGTTGAATCTTACTTTCTCCTTTTTTGATGATTACTGCACAGTGTGGCCCTGTCTGGAGGTAGGGGTGGGTGGGACTGGTCTTAGGGGTTTTCTGTTTCTGTTTTGTCATGTCATTGTGTATTTTGGTTTATTTTTGTCAATGCTATTACTGTAATGGTCTTTTTATGTTATTATCATAATTGTTTTGTCATCTTTTTTGTATTTCTTTTTTATATAGCACCTGTAATTGTACTCTGTATTTCTCCTGTTATTGTGTTATGTGGGAAAAACCAATAAATAGTGTTAAAATGTTTTTAAAAAAAGCAGCGGCAAGAAGAAAGGTCTTCAGCCTGTCAATCCAAAATCCTAGGTATTTATAAGATTTAATTATTTCGATGTGTGTACTTTTGCCATCTCTGTCTGCAGCTCAGGGAAAGATCAGGTGTTTGATGTGGTTCAAGAGACTCAAAACGAAAGAAACATAAACAAGTAAATGGCATTTAAAAACACTAATTTAAAAGCAAAGATAATAAAACATGCAGATACTCACTGTCCTCTGTTATGCTGGTTTATACGTTTGTTTTCCATGGCAGTGCATGTGCTATGTATATTGTCCTTGAATGTCTGTTTATTTGCAGGCATAGGAGAACAACACTTTAAAAATGTGTACGAACTGGTTTTGCTTTAGGCAAGGCAAGGCAAGTTTATTTATAGATCACCTTTCAACACAAGGCAATTCAAAGTGCTTTACAAAAATGAAAGACATTAAGAAAATAGCATTTAAAAACAGTCATTAAAAAGCAAAGATAATAAAACAAACATTAAAAGACGAAATACATGAATCAAAGTTACAGTGCAGTGTAAGATATGAATAGTTCAATTAAAAGCAGCGGCAAATCGTACTTCACAGCAATACTCCCTTCCATACCAACCCTGCTTTGCCAGGTGCACTTAGAGATGGGATAACTAAGATGTGGCACACCCAGGGAATCAAAACATTTGGGGATCTCTACGAGAATAACTTACTTATGACCTTTGGACAGCTGTGTAATTCCTTCAGCCTCCCAACTACTAATTTCTTCAAATATTTGCAAGTCAGACACTTTTTAAGCACACTTCATGGGGAAAACTCCACTCCCTTAAAGTCTCTCCGAATTGACAATGTTCTAAAAGGAGTTAAACACCCCAGAGGTATACTTTCCTTGACATATAACAGCATTCTGGCCTTCACAGAGGTTAAACCCCTGAATTCTAGGACCAAGTGGGAGCAAGACCTGAGTTGTACCTTTGGAGACTTAAAATGGGAGTCATTATGTGAGGAGGCCCTCACTTTCTCATACAACAGCCGACATAAACTTTTGCACTTTAACATTATTCACAGAACCTACTTTTCACCAGAAAGACTTCATAGGATAAATCAATCAATTTCAGATCTTTGCCCTAGATGTACTACAGACACAGGTAGCCTAATTCACATGTTCTGGGATTGTAATAAATTAAAGCACTACTGGGGGTCAATATGGGAGATTCTTAAAGAGATTTCTGGGTATGAGATTCCTTGTACACCTAAATGTCGCCCTGTTAGGTGACATTTCTGACATCCCTTCACACAAAAGGAATAAGGTGCGCCTAATCAAACTGGCCATGATTGCTGGCAACAAATGTATTGCTCTATTATGGAAGAGTGCAGAACCCCCCCCCCCCATATCCATGTGGCTCAAAGAAATCTCCTCCTACATGATGTGAGAACAAATTATGTTTAATCTTAAAAGAAAGCCACATCTCTTTGATAAGTGCTGGTCTGGCTTTAGGAATGATATAGAAAACATCCAACAACCTATTGTAGGCTGAAGAAATGCTATGACAAATACACATGCATTTGCTGAAGCAAGTATAGTTGAATCTTACTTTCTCCTTTTTTGACAATTACTGCACAGTGTGGCCCTGTCTGGAGGTAGGGGTGGGTGGGACTGGTCTTAGGGGTTTTCTGTTTCTGTTTTGTCATGTCATTGTGTATTTTGGTTTATTTTTGTCAATGCTATTACTGTAATGGTCTTTTTATGTTATTATTATCATTATTGTTTTGTCATCTTTTTTGTATTTCTTTTTTAAATAGCACCTGTAATTGTACTCTTTATTTTCTCCTGTTATTGTGTTATGTGTGGGAAAAACCAATAAATAGTGTTAAAATGTTTTTTTAAAAAGCAGCGGCAAGAAGAAAGGTCTTCAGCCTGGATTTAAAAGTAGTCAGAGTTGCAGCGGACCGGCAGGTTTCTGGGAGTTTGTTCCAGATGTTTGGAGCATAATAACTGAACTTCTCCAGGTTTAGTTCTGACTCTGGGGACAGGAAGCTGACCAGTCCCTGAAGACCTGAGAGTTCTGGATAATTCATAATTTAGCAGGAGGTCAGAAATGTATTTTGGGCCTAAACCATTCAGTGCTTTATAAACCAGCAGCAGTATTTTGAAATCTATTCTTTGACAGACAGGAAGCCAGTGTAAAGACTTCAGAACAAGACTGATCCACTTTCTTAGTGTCAGTGAGGAACCAGTGTAAAGACTTCAGAACAGGACTGATGTGATCCACTTTCTTAATGTCAGTGAGGAACCAGTGTAAAGACTTCAGAACAGGACTGATGTGATCCACTTTCTTAATGTCAGTGAGGAACCAGTGTAAAGACTTCAGAACTGGAGTGATGTGATCCACTCTCTTAGTGTCAGTGAGGAACCAGTGTAAAGACTTCAGAACTGGACTGATCCACTTTCTTAGTGTCAGTGAGAACTCGAGCAGCCGCGTTCTGAATGAGCTGCAGCTTTCTAATAGATGTTTTAGTGAGACCTGTGAAGACACCATTACAGTAGTCCAGTCTACTGAAGATAAAAGCATGGAGGAGTGATACAGAACGTCTAAATGATCGAGAGCTCCTTTACACGCCGAGCGGTAGATGGTATCGCCGTAGTCGAACAGAGGAAGGACAGTCATCTGGACCAGAGAGGGTTTAGCAGATGAAGTGAATGAGGAGCGATTCCTATATAGAAAGCTGAGTCTAGCTTTAACCTTTGTCTGAATTTTGGAGAGATGTTCTGAGAATGACAGATTTCTGTCAATCCAAAATCCTAGGTATTTATAAGATTTAATTATTTCGATGTGTGTACTTTTGCCATCTCTGTCTGCAGCTCAGGGAAAGATCAGGTGTTTGATGTGGTTCAAGAGACTCAAAATGAAAGAAACATAAACAAGTAAATGGCATTTAAAAACACTCATTTAAAAGCAAAGATAATAAAACATGCAGATACTCACCGTCCTCTGTTATGCTGGTTTATACGTTTGTTTTCCATGGCAGTGCATGTGCTATGCATATTGTCCTTGAATGTCTGTTTATTTGCAGGCATAGGAGAACAACACTTTAAAAATGTGTACGAACTGGTTTTGCTTTAGGCAAGGCAAGGCAAGTTTATTTATAGATCACCTTTCAACACAAGGCAATTCAAAGTGCTTTACAAAAATGAAAGACATTAAGAAAATGGCATTTAAAAACAGTCATTAAAAAGCAAAGATAATAAAACAAACATTAAAAGACGAAATACATGAATCAAAGTTACAGTGCAGTGTAAGATATGAATAGTTCAATTAAAAGCAGCGGCAAATCGTACTTCACAGCAATACTCCCTTCCATACCAACCCTGCTTTGCCAGGTGCACTTAGAGATGGGATAACTAAGATGTGGCACACCCAGGGAATCAAAACATTTGGAGATCTCTACGAGAATAACTTACTTATGACCTTTGGACAGCTGTGTAATTCCTTCAGCCTCCCAATTACTAATTTCTTCAAATATTTGCAAGTCAGACACTTTTTAAGCACACTTCATGGGGAAAACTCCACTCCCTTAAAGTCTCTCCGAATTGACAATGTTCTAAAAGGAGTTAAACACCCCAGAGGTATACTTTCCTTGACATATAACAGCATTCTGGCCTTCACAGAGGTTAAACCCCTGAATTCTAGGACCAAGTGGGAGCAAGACCTGAGTTGTACCTTTGGAGACTTAAAATGGGAGTCATTATGTGAGGAGGCCCTCACTTTCTCATACAACAGCCGACATAACTTTTGCACTTTAATATTATTCACAGAACCTACTTTTCACCAGAAAGACTTCATAGGATAAATCAATCAATTTCAGATCTTTGCCCTAGATGTACTACAGACACAGGTAGCCTAATTCACATGTTCTGGGATTGTAATAAATTAAAGCACTACTGGGGGTCAATATGGGAGATTCTTAAAGAGATTTCTGGGTATGAGATTCCTTGTACACCTAAATGTCGCCCTGTTAGGTGACATTTCTGACATCCCTTCACACAAAAGGAATAAGGTGCGCCTAATCAAACTGGCCATGATTGCTGGCAACAAATGTATTGCTCTATTATGGAAGAGTGCAGAACCCCCCCCCCCCCCATATCCATGTGGCTCAAAGAAATCTCCTCCTACATGATGTGAGAACAAATTATGTTTAATCTTAAAAGAAAGCCACATCTCTTTGATAAGTGCTGGTCTGGCTTTAGGAATGATATAGAAAACATCCAACAACCTATTGTAGGCTGAAGAAATGCTATGACAAATACACATGCATTTGCTGAAGCAAGTATAGTTGAATCTTACTTTCTCCTTTTTTGACAATTACTGCACAGTGTGGCCCTGTCTGGAGGTAGGGGTGGGTGGGACTGGTCTTAGGGGTTTTCTGTTTCTGTTTTGTCATGTCATTGTGTATTTTGGTTTATTTTTGTCAATGCTATTACTGTAATGGTCTTTTTATGTTATTATTATCATTATTGTTTTGTCATCTTTTTTGTATTTCTTTTTTAAATAGCACCTGTAATTGTACTCTTTATTTTCTCCTGTTATTGTGTTATGTGTGGGAAAAACCAATAAATAGTGTTAAAATGTTTTTTTTAAAAAGCAGCGGCAAGAAGAAAGGTCTTCAGCCTGGATTTAAAAGTAGTCAGAGTTGCAGCGGACCGGCAGGTTTCTGGGAGTTTGTTCCAGATGTTTGGAGCATAATAACTGAACTTCTCCAGGTTTAGTTCTGACTCTGGGGACAGGAAGCTGACCAGTCCCTGAAGACCTGAGAGTTCTGGATAATTCATAATTTAGCAGGAGGTCAGAAATGTATTTTGGGCCTAAACCATTCAGTGCTTTATAAACCAGCAGCAGTATTTTGAAATCTATTCTTTGACAGACAGGAAGCCAGTGTAAAGACTTCAGAACAAGACTGATCCACTCTCTTAGTGTTAGTGAGGAACCAGTGTAAAGACTTCAGAACAAGACTGATCCACTTTCTTAGTGTCAGTGAGGAACCAGTGTAAAGACTTCAGAACAAGACTGATCCACTTTCTTAGTGTCAGTGAGGAACCAGTGTAAAGACTTCAGAACTGGAGTGATCCACTCTCTTAGTGTCAGTGAGGAACCAGTGTAAAGACTTCAGAACAGGAGTGATCCACTCTCTTAGTGTCAGTGAGGAACCAGTGTAAAGACTTCAGAACTGGACTGATGTGATCCACTTTCTTAGTGTCAGTGAGGACTCGAGCAGCAGCGTTCTGAATGAGCTGCAGCTTTCTAATAGATGTTTTAGTGAGACCTGTGAAGACACCATTACAGTAGTCCAGTCTCCTGAAGATAAAAGCATGGAGGAGTGATACAGAACGTCTAAATGATCGAGAGCTCCTTTACACGCCGAGCGGTAGATGGTATCGCCGTAGTCGAACAGAGGAAGGACAGTCATCTGGACCAGAGAGGGTTTAGCAGATGAAGTGAATGAGGAGCGATTCCTATATAGAAAGCTGAGTCTAGCTTTAACCTTGGTCTGAATTTTGGAGAGATGTTCTGAGAATGACAGATTACTGTCAATCCAAAATCCTAGGTATTTATAAGATTTAATTATTTCGATGTGTGTACTTTTGCCATCTCTGCCTGCAGCTCAGGGAAAGATCAGGTGTTTGATGTGGTTCAAGAGACTCAAAATGAAAGAAAAATAAACAAGTAAATGGCATTTAAAAACACTCATTTAAAAGCAAAGATAATAAAACATGCAGATACTCACCGTCCTCTGTTATGCTGGTTTATACGTTTGTTTTCCATGGCAGTGCATGTGCTATGTATATTGTCCTTGAATGTCTGTTTATTTGCAGGCATAGGAGAACAACACTTTAAAAATCTGTACGAACTGGTTTTGCTTTAGGCAAGGCAAGGCAAGTTTATTTATAGATCACCTTTCAACACAAGGCAATTCAAAGTGCTTTACAAAAATGAAAGACATTAAGAAAATGGCATTTAAAAACAGTCATTAAAAAGCAACGATAATAAAATAAACATTAAAAGACGAAATACATGAATCAAAGTTACAGTGCAGTGTAAGATATGAATAGTTCAATTAAAAGCAGCGGCAAATCGTACTTCACAGCAATACTCCCTTCCATACCAACCCTGCTTTGCCAGGTGCACTTAGAGATGGGATAACTAAGATGTGGCACACCCAGGGAATCAAAACATTTGGGGATCTCTACGAGAATAACTTACTTATGACCTTTGGACAGCTGTGTAATTCCTTCAGCCTCCCAACTACTAATTTCTTCAAATATTTGCAAGTCAGACACTTTTTAAGCACACTTCATGGGGAAAACTCCACTCCCTTAAAGTCTCTCCGAATTGACAATGTTCTAAAAGGAGTTAAACCAAATCCTGCTGTGACATTATTCTTTTATCCTAGATATATTCTTAAGGTGATAGTAGGCTGATTTAGTAACTGTTTTAATGTGACTGTTGAAACTCAGGTCAGAGTCCATGACTACACCTATAGATTTATTTCTGGCTTAATCTGTTGTTTTGAACATTGCAGACTGAAGCTCAGCGCTGACTTTATTATTAGGTTTGTTAGATTGACATCATGTAAGTCTGTTATTATAATGTGTATGTGTGTGTGTGTGTGTGTGTGTGTGTGTGTGTGTGTGTGTGTGTGTGTGTGTGTGTGTGTGTGTGTGTGTGTGTGTGTGTGTGTGTGTGTGTGTGTGTGTGTGTGTGTGTGTTCGTTCCAGCAGTGTTACTGGTTGATCTCTCAGACTGGAGAAGATGAGTGATTGTCTGTCTCTGAAGAGTGACCGGTCTGAAGAGGAACTTCCAGACTTCAGTGATGAACCTGGACCCTCAGACAGGAAGTAAGAGTTTGTTCCTGTTTCTACTGTAACCTGACCTGAAGAGCATTCAGGTTTTATATAATCTGATAATCTAAACTGTTGTTTTATTATTACATGAGCGCAGTAGAGTACATAAACTCTGTAGAGCAGGGGTGTCAAACTCAAGGCCCGGGGGCCAAATCTGGCCCGTGACTTCATTTTCTGTGGCCCCACAAGAGCTTGCAAAGAATATCATATGTTTATTATACGGTTACATGGTGATTTACAGAAGCACGTTGCCCATAAACTACATGTCCCACAATGCATCTCAAATTAGACTTTCTTCTCAGAATTTGATTCTTTTTTTTAAATGTTAGTTTTTTTTTTAAATGTCACTTCTGTTTTTTGACTTTTTTTCCAGCTTTTCTTTTGAAATCATTTTGTGACATTCTCACTGAAGAGACTTGCAATTATTTGCCCCAGACTTCTGATTTCAGACGTAGTAAATTATGAAGTTATTACCCTATCTGATAATAATCCAATGCAGAGGCAATAATGTAATATAATACATTATTTTATATATATATTTATATATAAGTTACAACCGGCCCTTTGAGTGTGGTATAATGCTGATGTGGCCCACGATTAAATTGAGTTTGACCCCCCTGCTGTAGAGTGTATTACAGAAATGCAGTAGATTAGAGTAAAGATTTGCAGTAAAGTACAAACAGAAACTCAGTAGAGAACAAAGTAAACTTCTCTAGTAAAATAATTATCTCACTCGACATGTAGAACTTTGTGTTGAGCAAATCAAATACAAACATGTAAAACTTCACAAATGAATTATAATAACAACTCATCAATAAACGCAGTAAAGTACAGTAACAAGGCCAAAGAGGAGAGTTAACAATAATTTAGGATATTTCAATATGCTATGTATCCGTTTCATGAAATGTTTTTAAAATGACAATAATATTTGAAACAATATAAATCTTCCAACAAATGAGTTGACTACCTCAGCATCTTTTTTAGACGTATTTCAAGATGTTTATTAATAATAGTAATAACCTGGTGAGCTGGTTGTGTTTAGCATTAGCAGATGTAACTGATTACATATAGAGTCAATACAAAGACACACATTTGTACCTGGCAACACGAATGAAATGAAGAAGTGAAATTCATATCCCCTGTGTATCAAATACACAACTGGAAAAGTTATAACTTGAGTGTAAAGTTTGTGACGCTCTGTTACAAAAACCTGTCAGTGTTGAGATCCTGCTCCTGTGGTCTCTGACATACTGAGATGAATCAGAAAAGGGAACATCAGCACCCAGAGCTCTACAGCACCTCATATTAAATCAGGGTTATTCATGTACCTGTATAAACCAGAGACTGTCTGTGGTACTAACAATATAATAGCTGCTGTTCTTATGACTGGATGCAGTTATTTTGAGTGTTGATGGAGCAGCTACAATGTTAGCCTAGCTTCAATCAATCCATCTCCATTCAGAAAACAAACATTTTCAAGTGTTTTGCTTGTTGTGTTGCAGACAGACCTGACAAAGCATCAACTCAGGCTTTTTACAAATCACTATTATTACGTTGTTATTTCGGCATCCTTTACATATGTTTAATGAAATTAATTCACAGTAAATTCAATGTAAATTGGGTTCATAGTGCTGTAGTGTAGATTAACACCCATATAACACCCCCACACACTCAGACACTCAAATCCAAATCCAGCACCAGACACTTTTTTACGATGCTATGGAAAATCTTACACTAATTTCCCAAAGATATGGAAGTGACTGTTATTTTGTATATATTTATTGTTGTGTTTTTTTATCTTAATGTGTGCACATGTATAAATGTGTCTGTTGATTGTGTATATATAGGATATACATATTTTTATACATATTTGTATTTTTATATTCGGGATTGTGGGAAACGGTATTTTGATCTCTGTCTGTACACACAAACTGAAAGATTGACAAAAACGTTGACTTTGACTTTTGACTTTAATTCAGCTGATGTTATTAACCCAGACACAAAGCTGTGTGGTTTACTAATGATATGCCACCTTGTTCTACCATTGGTTAGAATCAGCTCCACTAATGTAAAGTGCTATAAAGGATGTGTTCATCTCCACAGAGGGAAGAGGAATAGACGTGTTCCTGTGGAGGAGCAGTTGTCCAGCTGTGCTCTGTGTCAGGACGTCCTGAAGGATCCAGTCTCTACCAGCTGTGGACACTGGTTCTGCAGACAGTGCATCACCTCATACTGGGAGCAGAGACCTCCATCAGGAGACCCCTCCTGTCCCCAGTGTGGGAAAGATCCAGAACCAGAGCTGGACTGCAGACAGCCAGTCAGACCAGCTCTGTACGAGGTAAGAGGCCGAACACATGCAGCATCTTTACCTGGTCGCTCAGGAAAACATTAGCCCTGCACAAATATAACATTTACGTAAGATAGTCAAGATATCTGCCAGCTAGTATTTGTTGGTTCTTTCTGGATTCTTCATGTCCAGGATTTGTATGTGTATTTTGTTTAGTGTCGTGTTGTAAAGTGTGAACATTAGGTTTTATAAAAATCATGAAATTTTTAATTTTTTATTTAATCATCAGATTCTTAAAAGCATTTTCTTATTCTCACATGTGTTCTTCTCTTTCAGCAGATAGTGGTCTGCAGGAGGTTTTAGATGAACATAAGCTCAGTCTGAGGAGGACATATGAACGTGTGACTGAAGGAACTGATCAAAGTGAAACCCTCCTCAACAGGATCTTCACTGAGCTCTACATCACACAAGGCCAGAGTGAAGAGGTTAATACCCAACATGAGGTGAGGCAGCTGGAGACAGCTTACAAGAAGAAGCCCCTCCATGACACTCCAATCAAGTGCCAGGACATCTTTAAAGCCTTACCTGACCATCAGACACCCATCAGAGTGGTCCTGACCAACGGAGTCTCTGGAGTTGGAAAAACCTTCTCAGTGCAGAAGTTCACTCTGGACTGGGCCGAGGGTTTGGAAAACCAAGATGTCAGTCTGGTGATCCCGCTCTCCTTCAGGGAGCTGAACCTGATCAAAGGTGAGCAGTACAGTCTTCTCAGGCTGCTCCATGTTTTCCATCCGACCTTACAGAAGGTCACAGCAGAGCAGCTGGCTGTCTGTAAAGTGCTGCTCATCTTTGACGGCCTGGATGAAAGCAGACTTTCTCTGGACTTCAGAAACAATGAGGTTGTGTCTGACGTCTCACAGAAGTCCTCAGTCGACGTGCTGCTGACAAACTTCATCAGGGGGAAGCTGCTTCCCTCGGCTCTCGTCTGGATAACTTCCAGACCTGCAGCGGCCAATCAGATCCCTCCTGAGTGTGTGGACAGGGTAACAGAAGTACGAGGCTTCACTGACGCCCAGAAGGAGGAGTACTTCAGGAGGAGATCGAGTGATGAAGACCTGTCCAGCAGAATCATCTCTCACATCAAGAGCTCCAGGAGCCTCCACATCATGTGTCTGATCCCAGTCTTCTGCTGGATCACTGCTGCAGTTCTGGACCACATGTTGACTACAGACCAGAGAGGAGAGCTGCCCCAGACCCTCACTGACATGTACTCACACTTCCTGCTGGTCCAGACCAAGAGGAAGAAGCAGAAGTATGAAGAGGGACATGAGACGAGACAACAGCAGCTGACGAAGGCTGACAGGGAGCTTCTTCTGAAGCTGGGGAGGCTGGCGTTTGAACATCTGGAGAAAGGAAACCTCATGTTCTACCAAGAAGACCTGCAGCGCTGTGGTCTTGGTGTCACCGAGGCCTTGGTGCACTCAGGAGTTTGTACAGAGATCTTCAAAAGAGAGAGAGTGATATTCCAGAAAACAGTCTACTGCTTTGTTCATCTGAGCATTCAGGAGTTTCTGGCTGCAGTCTACATGTTCCACTGTTACACCAACAGAGACACAGAGGTACTGAAGGACTTCCTGAAGAGAGGTCAGGATTACCCATCTCTAGATGTCTTCCTGAAGAGAGCCATGAAGAAATCACTCAAAAGTGAAAATGGCCACCTGGACCTGTTGGTCCGATTTCTCCACGGCCTCTCTCTGGAGTCCAACCAGCGACTCTTAGGAGGCCTGCTGGGTCGCACAGACAACAGACCAGAAACCATCCAGAGAGCCATCAACAACCTGAAGGAGATGAGAAGTGGATCCTCTCCTGAAAGGAGCATCAACATCTTCCACTGTCTGACAGAGATGAAGGACCACTCAGTACATCAGGAGATCACAGAGTTCCTGAAGTCAAAGAACAAATCACAGAAACTCTCTGAGATCCACTGCTCTGCTCTGGCCATCATGCTGCAGATGTCAGAGGAGGTTCTGGAGGAGTTGGACCTGAGGAAGTACAACACATCAGAGGAGGGACGACGGAGACTGATTCCAGCTGTGAGGAGCTGCAGGAAGGCTGTGTAAGTCCAGATGTGATTAACTTTATAAATACCTGTAGATCAGAAGTTTGTTTCTTCTAATAAACACTATAAAATGTTTGATGTTTTAAATACTTTGAGAGAGAAATTAAATGATCCTAGTTATTCTATTTATTTATAATAATGTGACATTTTAAAGTGTTTTCTTCTCCTCATATTCCTTTGTGTGATGGAGGCGACATGCCAAACAAATGAAGTGATCACAACATACAGCAGTATTTACAGTTATCAGTGAATGCAGTTAGGTTATTAATATATCATTGCAGTTTCTTCAATATTAAATCAGATCCGTTTTTACCACAATGCTTAAGAGTTTAAAATAAGATCTATTATTAAATTAAATTAACATGATATGTTAAAAGTTGTTCCATCAAATTCAGTAAGTTAATAACATGTTTCCTCTGTTTTTATACTAACACAAGTTGTAATGTATGTGTTATTATAGACTTACTATCTGTAGACTCTCAGAGACTGACTGTGAAGTCGTGGCCTCAGCTCTGATGTCTGACCCCTCTCATCTGAGATATCTGGACCTGAGTGGCAACTATCTGCAGGATTCAGGAGTGGAGCTGCTGAGTTCTGGACTAAAGAGTCCAAACTGCAGACTGGAGACTCTCGGGTCAGTTCACTGACTGCAGTTCATACAGATCTGTTTGTGTTTATGATTTTCTGAATTTGCCCGAAGACATTTTAATTCTTTTATTTGTTTCTGTATTTCCAAATGGAAATGGAATCCAAACTTTAAGAACAACAAAGATCAGAGAAGGTGAATGTGTGAGGGAGAATGTTTGAGCTTCCACAGACTCACTCTGTGCTCCATGAGTCAGTGCAGATGCTGTCAGTACTGATGAGCTGTGAGGGAGATGAAGGAGTTGTTAAACATCTGATGAGAGAAACTGCTGCAGAGAGTTCCAGATTATCAATGGACTGTTTCTACATCATCTCTGACATTAAAACATTCTTCAGCTCTGATCAGATTATTAAACCTGGAGTTATTTCAAACAGGAACATTGTTTTATAAAGTTACATCATGTTTTCTTTATGTAGACTGAAGAGCTGCAGTTTGTCAGAGATCAGCTGTTCTGCTCTGGTCTCAGCTCTGAAGTCCAACATCCATCTGAGATATCTGGACCTGAGAGACAACGATCTGCAGGATTCAGGAGTGGAGCTGCTGAGTGATCTTCTGGAGAGTCCAGACTGCAGACTGCAGACTCTCAGGTCAGTTCTCCATCTTCAACTTCTGTGCTGAGCAGTGGCGAGCCGTGAGCTTTATACCTAGGCCCTCTGACCCCCACCCCTTCCCTCGAAAAAAAGAAAAAAAAAGAGTTATTACGTCACAGCGTATACTTCAGCGGAATATCAAAACAACGGCCCAGGGTGCAAAACGCATCAATGACAGCGACCCTCTACCACACAAAACAACACCTGTGAACCCAATTTGTGTTCTTTGACATTGAAAATGATATTGCATTGTGTTTGTTACTTTCGTATGTCTTAAGTGTAATTTGGCATGCTTTTATTTTGAAGGCGAGTTCACGCTGTTGACAGGAAGTTGTTGTTGCTATGGAAACAAGAAAAGTTTCACAGCGGGCGGAACTCGTCATAAAGTCCGCGATAATAAAACCCACCCATTTAGAGGGAAGATATGATTGGTCAATTGTACTGTCATTTGACATTACTCTCTCGTTCAGTTACTATAGCGGGCCCTCTGTGAATCGCAGAGAGGCCCGCTATAGTAACTGACATTCAAACAGAGACTGAACAGGCAGATTCGAAGGATTTATTTCTTTGGAAATGTTATTTTATTAAATCAAGTTTTTTTTCGGTAAAACTAATGAAAAATATAACAAAAATAATATTAAAAATATATATATTTAAAAAAAATATATATTTTTTTAATGTTTTTAAATATTATTTTTTGGAATATCTTAGGCCCTCACAGAGGGCCTAGAGGGCCCTGACGGCTCGCCACTGGTGCTGAGATTATTATGTGAGAGTTGTGTTGACTCTGAGCTGCAGACATCAGGCTGATATCACACTGATCCTCACTGAGTATCTTAACCCTCTACAGTCTCAGCCCTTTGTTCATATTGTTGGTGTCCTGGTCTTTTTCAGTAAGAATGCTTGTTTAGTAGGGGTGTAAAGGTATACGTATTCGTACCGTAAATATTCGGTATGGACCCTTCGGTTCGGTAGTGTACCGAATGAATATAACGTTAAACATAAAAAAATTGAGAACGTGAACAACTTTTTGGAAGTAATCTCAGGTGCTGCGTTGCAGCGTTCAGTGTAATTTGCTCACATTGGGTTCAACGCGTCATAGATCGACCAAGTCATTTCATTGGACGAGAGGCATACTATGAGAGTTGGTCACAGGGATGCGTTCAAATGTAGTCAGTAATTTGAGGAACTGGCAAAATGGCGAACGCAGATTAAGTTGAGCTCGAAAATCCTCCAGCATCATTGAAGTCTACGGTTTGGGAACATTTTGGTTTCGCAGTTACGTACAAGAATGACGGACAAAGACAGGTGGACCGAACCAAAGCTTTTTGTCGGCATTGTTCAACTAAAATTGGTTACGCGGCTGGCAATACATCAAACTTGCACACTCATTTGAAAAGGCATTACCCGAACGTGAATATCACCGGTCCGGTACCAAAAGAAAAATGACTGAAGTGCAAACCCAACTCCCACTAGCATTTAAGCCTCCAACACTTGCAAAAGGTTCAGACCGAGCCAAAGCTACAGTATTACAAACGCCAAATATCCTTATGTTGCCATGTTAGCAAAGCGCTACCTGGGTGTATCTGCTACCTCTGTCCTAGCGAGAGGGTGTTCTCCACAGCAGGAGACATTGTTAGTGCCAGCAGATCTGCCCTTCGGCAAGCAATGTGGACAAGTTCATCTTTCTTTAAAAAAACATGAAAATACAATGACAAGCCTAATGTCAAGCTGGCTGCTTAGGTGAGTATTAGCACAGTACAATTCAAGTACAGATTATTTCAGTTAATCGAAATGCTGCACCTTAATGTTTATTTTTTTATATTTTGTATTTATTTGAGTGAATATTCACAGTTTAATAATAATTAAAAACCCAAAACAAATATTTTATGTTTTGTGAGTACTAGTACAGTAAAGTTCAAATACAGATTATTTCAGTTCATCGAAATGCTGCACCTTAATGTTTGTTTTATTATATTTTTTATTTATTTGAGTGAACACATTATTCACAGTTTAATAATAATTAAAAACCCCCAAAAAATACTTTATGTTTTGTGATCATTTTTTCTGCTGTACCGAAAACGTACCGAACCGTGACCTAAAAACCGAGGTACGTACCGAACCTAAATGTTTGTGAACCGTTACACCCCTATTGTTTAGCCTCAGCCCTGCACTGCACTCATGTTGTATACATCTTTCCTTTTAAGACAAACTAAGCTAATTCTGATGTTACATGCAATAGCCTCAGAAAGGCTAAACAAGGTTAAGTTTAAGGTACATTTATTTATAAAGCACATATCAGACACAAAGGCCATTCAAAGTGGTTTACATAGGCAATAACAAATACAAAAATTAAATCAAAATAAGTTGAACAAAAAGACAATTTATAAAAAAGATAGAAAATAGTTAAAAAGAGACATTGTAAATAAACAAGTCTCTCGATGTTTTGTTGAGACATGAGTTCTTGCAGTCTGGCTATGTCTTTTAGGTGGTAGTATGCTGATGTTGTGTTTCCTTTGATGTGGGTTTTGAAATTGAGGTCAGAGTCCATAACTACACCTAGGTTTCTGACACTGTCTGATGCCTCAAACAGTAGGGCTTCGAGTTGAGTGGTTACATCAGCCGCTTTCACACCAAGTACTTTGCCGTACTTAGTGCCCTGCAGTACTACTAAGTACTGAGAGTACGCGTTCACACCGGAATAAGTTCCCTGAGGGAAGATTACGCAAATGAAGCCGCTGACGTCACTTCTTCTTCTTCTGCTTTGGGTTTACTGGCAGGCCGCAAACCACTTCACGGCGTATACTGCCACCCGGAGTCCCCGGCCGGAAGTCCCCGGAGTTGGGGACTGGCTTCAGTAGAAACTGCTGGGCTATTGCTATTGCTATTGGCCTGTTCCTTTTTGGCACCAAAGATAATAGTTTCTGTTTTGTCCTTATTTAATGCAGGACATTTTGACTCATCCAGTTGCAGATTTGTCCAATGCAGTTGTTTAGAGATTGTAATGGTCCATAGTCGTCAGGCCTTATTGTAATGTAGATCTGAGTGTTATCCGTGTAGTTATGGTATGACATTTAGTTTTTTCTCAGGATATGTGCAAGAGGAAGCATATATATATATATATATATATATATATATATATATATATATATATATATATATATATAAACAACAACAAAGTATAACACGTTTAGTTCACTGACTGTGGCAGAGCAATGTTGATCTTTAAATTAAAATAACAAGAAAAATCCTACACTGCATAATTCACTCAGAACATTTAAACACGGGAAATACATCTTATATTCTCCATCCTGTTTCTTATAAAAATAAATGATATAAAATATACGTATATAAATATAATTTTAAATATTTCTATTAAAACTATCAAACACTAAGAAATATTTGTTCTGTTTCCATCATGTTTCTGAAGCTACATGATGCTTTACTGACTGAATAGTTTAAACTGAATAAACTGTGATTTGATGACTTCACTATTCCTAAAATAAATAATCTGAATGTTATTCTTCACATTTAAAATTCATCCTTGAGTTGAATCAGTTTCTGAGGGTTTATGTTTGTCTGGCTGCACATCATGAGTTAGTGTAGATGGAGCAGAGTTTCAGATGTGAAGTCAACTCTTTTTATTGAAGTAGAAGCACGTTGTCTTTCATATTAATGAGAGCTTTTTTTCTCTTTCTGTATCTTACAGTTTTTAACCTGTTTGGAGTTTCCACTTTCTAAACTTCTTCAGCTCTGAGCAGATTATTAAACCTTGAGTTATTTCAAACAGGAACATTGTTTTCTAAAGTTACATCATGTTTTCTTTATTCAGACTGAGGAACTGCAGTTTGACAGAGATCAGCTGTTCTGCTCTGGCCTCAGCTCTGAAGTCCAACATCCATCTGAGAGATCTGGACCTGAGAGACAACGCTCTGCAGGATTCAGGAGTGAAGCTGCTGAGAGATCTTCTGGAGAGTCCAGAATGCAGACTGGAGACTCTCAGGTCAGTAACGGTCTCTGCTGGTTCAGCAGTATTGTATTAAACACAGGGAGGTGGAGGTGTTTCTCTCACTGGGGAATCACAACAGATCTCTCTCTGTTTTTTTATTCACCAACAATATATTATAAGCTGAAAATACAAAGCCACATTTAGTTAGTAAACAACTTTCTAACAGACATGGGATTTGACAGAAGAGTGGAAAAGGTAGTCTGTTTTGTTTCCTGTCAGGTTTTTAGTTTCTAGATTAATGACTGGTTACTTCCTGTATTGCAGCTGAGAGCTGTGGCGGTCAGTCGTAGTGTTTGCAGAGAAGATATGATGGGATGTAAAGCATGAGATCAGTCAGGACTCTGAAGCTGACTCAAAGAACAAACTATTATTTTAAACTTATCCAAAACTGTTGGATTGTGTTCATCCCTACAGGATCAATGGTGAGACGATCAGAGCCAAGAAACAGAAGTGAGTACTGTGAGTACTGAAACCATATCCTCCATTCATCAAGATATTGTACATTAAAATCTGATCTTAAAAGGTCTTTATAGTACAACAACAATATATTTTAATTCCATCTTGTTACAGCTCTATTTAATCAAAAACAACAGGCAACAACATTTATAAGTAAGACTTTCTACGCCCTAAAAGCTTTAGAAACTCACTCAGATTCACACATCTAGAAAATCACTCAGACATGAGACCGGACACAGTCAAGATTTTCTGGCAGCAGATTACAAACATTTCAGCAGTCTTGTAAATACAAAAATAATTAATAAAGTTTACGCATAACAGTAAATGCTCACATCCAGAAAGATCACAGGGGGACAGAACAATAATTAAACATTACAAATAAAAGGTGAATGATATAAACTGGTACATCCTAGTGAGGCTCCAAAGTGAATGACATTAGATTAACATTACCTCTGAACTAAAGTGGTGTGACATTCAATATGATGAACCTGTTTCAGCAGCAATGCAACAGCTCTTTGCTTCACAGCGTTGCTCCTGGACGTTCTGTTGTCTGTCGTCCACATCACTGATGAAGGCATGAGCATCATTACTACGTTAAACACACAACCTGTAATGTTCTGCCACTAGAGGGCTCTGCCGTTATCTATAGTAAAGCTGGAGGGTGGTGTGGTGGTGAAACAGCGTGGCATCATGGGAGTTGTAGTCTTCAGCTTCTCATGCTTAAGTGGATACGATGGCATTACAGGAGACAGTGATGAAACGTACTGTTACCTTGATTAAAATTACACATCTCTCTGAACTATTCGGGTTAATGTATGTACACAACTCAACACAATATTACAAAAATATGAATAACATAGGTGTAGTAGTTTTTAAACATTTGAATGTGGAAATGTTACATATAATAACTTTAAGTGAACGAATATCCACCCCTGGGAATGTCGAGTTACTTTAATTTTGAAGAGATCTGTTTAATGTGATTGTTGGTCAACAAAAGTATTTTCCCTGTTTATCTACCAGGTTCAAGGCAGGACATGTCCCAGAGAAATGTCCCATCAGATGACAGAGTCCCAGCAGAGAGCAGAGTCCCAGCAGAGAGGAATGTCCCAGCAGAGAGCAGAGTCCCAGAAGAGAGGAAAGTCCCAGCAGAGAGCAGAGTCCCAGCAGAGAGCAGAGTCCCAGCAGAGAGTAGAGTCCCAGCAGAGAGGAATGTCCCAGCAGAGAGCACAGTCCCAGCAGAGAGCACAGTCCCAGCAGAGAGCACAGTCCCAGCAGAGAGCAGAGTCCCAGCAGAGAGCAGAGTCCCAGCAGAGAGCAGAGTCCCAGCAGAGAGCAGAGTCCCAGCAGAGAGAAAAGTCCCAGCAGAGAGAAAAGTCCCAGCAGAGAGCAGAGTCCCAGCAGAGAGCAGAGTCCCAGCAGAGAGAAAAGTCCCAGCAGAGAGAAAAGTCCCAGCAGAGAGAAAAGTCCCAGCAGAGAGCAGAGTCCCAGCAGAGAGCAGAGTCCCAGCAGAGAGCAGAGTCCCAGCAGAGAGTAGAGTCCCAGCAGAGAGCAGAGTCCCAGCAGAGAGCACAGTCCCAGCAGAGAGCAGAGTCCCAGCAGAGAGTAAAGTCCCAGCAGAGAGCAGAGTCCCAGCAGAGAGCAGAGTCCCAGCAGAGAGCAGAGTCCCAGCAGAGAGCAGAGTCCCAGCAGAGAGCAGAGTCCCAGCAGAGAGCAGAGTCCCAGCAGAGAGCAGAGTCCCAGCAGAGAGCAGAGTCCCAGCAGAGAGTAGAGTCCCAGCAGAGAGTAGAGTCCCAGCAGAGAGCACAGTCCCAGCAGAGAGCACAGTCCCAGCAGAGAGTAGAGTCCCAGCAGAGAGCACAGTCCCAGCAGAGAGCACAGTCCCAGCAGAGAGTAGAGTCCCAGCAGAGAGCAGGGTCCCAGCAGAGAGAAAAGTCCCAGCAGACGAGTGGCTGCTTTAAAAGAGTGTCTCTAACTGTCCTGAACAGCCTTCTGGATAAACTCTTAGGCTCTGGAGTGATCAAAGATTCTGAACAGACGACAGCCAGCATGGGAACCAAATCCCCAAATGATAGCGCACGAGAGGTGGTGGACGCGGTGCGAAAAAAAGGAGCTGCAGCCAGCAGGGTTCTGATCAAGGCTCTCCGTGAGGAAGACCTGTATCTTTACAACGACCTTGTGGAGTGTGTGCCGCAGCAGCCCCTGCTAGTTTAGTATGTTGGTACCTGTAACTAGAGATGGGTGTCAGGTACTAAATAGAGTGGTGCAGGGATGACGTATTTTTGTAGGCCGACCAGGAAATAAGCTGTGCATGGGTTCCCTCGACAAAAAAGCAAAGGGATTTCTCCATAGGATTTAGGAAAATAGCTGGAAATAAGGTCTGTGGAAAACGTACCTGTTTGATAAATGCACGTTTTGTTCAGCGGATAATCTCCATATGTCTACCCTGCTTTTGTAATGTTCTAATCATAAATCTAATCGCCAGAAGCAAAATGCCGAGTACAGCAGGGTTGCACGACTTCAACGTCACGCCAACTTAAGATCGATATTTAAAAATACAGATTCTAAATGGTACGAGTTGAAGCGTTTGTTTGAACAGTTTGCAGGAGGCAGGTACTTGCTTTCAAGCAGAACAGGGCAAACAAACGTGTTTACATGTTCGGCGTAATTACGTTCAACGTCCTCGACAACTTCTGTAGTCCTATTCAGCCACTTGGTAACAACCATCGTTTTTCAGACACGTCAACTCTTCAGAAATCACCAGTGGGGTCACTGCTGATGGATTTAATGTCGTAGAACAAAACGTGATCCGTCTCTTCAATGTGTCTCAACCACAGACCTTATTTACAGCTAATTTCCCAAATCCTATGGAGAAATCCCATTGGCTCTGAGACGAGGGAACAGGAAGTGGTAAAATGCTAACTCACTTCCGGGTTTTAGGACTCGTCACTGCACCACTCTGTCCATTTTATTTTCCATGAACCAGTCTTTAAACACTGTCAGAGCCCATACCGTGTTCCTGTTCCTGTTTACTTCCCCTCTGTCTTCTTCTGATGTTCCCTTTAGTGATTACTTCCCCTCTGTCTTCTTCTGCTGTTCCCTTTAGTGAATACTTCCTGTCTGTCTTCTTCTGCTGTTCCCTTTAGTGTTTAATTCCCGTCTGTCTTCTTCTGCTGTTCCCTTACTTCCCGTCTGTCTTCTTCTGCTGTTCACTAGTGGGTATGTTTGATAACATATAGTTGAGAAGCACAAAGGGAATGCGTATTTTCGGCTGATTTTAGGCAGAAATTGTTCAAAAACCAAAGTATTTAAAGTAAAGTTTGTTTTATCTTTAATACTTTGTTATGCATGCTTTGTGTAAGATTGAGCTGTCTGTGTCTCTTTTCTGCTGTAACAATGTGCATTTCCCCTCTGTGAGACGAATAAAGGTATTCTGATTCTGTATTAGATAATATAAAATCTTGATCTGATAAAATAATAATAATAATACATTGGACTTTTACAGCGCTTTTCCTAATGCTCTGAGACGCTTTACAAAAACACACACAGAAACAATACAATAGTTTCTGTGTATGTTTTTTTATGACTTTTATGACTATTCATAAAAGACTCAACGAATAGTCAGATTATCTCAATTGAACATGATTAATAAAGAACTTCTTTAGATATTGTTGACACATCTGCTGTTCAAGTGGCCGTGACAGACCTCGCCTTTACCTCACGTACCTCTATTAAAGGTGGGGTATGTAAGTTTGAGAAACCGGCTCGAGATCGCTAGAATTTGAAAATACACAACCGGAGAAAATCTGCCACTTCCTTACAGAGCCCCTCCTCCAACACACACGAACGCGCACATGACCAATGAGGACACGAGATAAGTTTGTGCACAGATGGAAGGCTGACAGGCAGGTAGGCCATCCAGTTATTTTAGCCGGGCCGCGGCTAAAATGATTGGTCGTGCTTTTTACAGTATTACGGCTTCCACAGATGAAACTAGAAAGAACATCCTGAACTCTTAACCTATGCACATTATGCATTTTAGAAGGTGCAAGCAAAGCATAAAAGTTCCAACCACAATTCTAAGAAGACGTTGTGGTTTTTGACACCTTGACAACGGTTGATGAAGACAACGTGAAGATTTGAACCAACTTCCTGGGCCAGCGATTAGAGACAAGCTGTCCCTATTGTCTCTGTTAATACATTTAAGTCTAAAGTTTGCATATTTGAAATTAAATGTTTAAAGAAAAAAACTAGATTCTAAACCTGACATTGACAACGTGTTCTGCTTTCAGGAAACATGTTCATATTCCTTCTTGTTAAAATTGCATATTATTACTATAAGTCTTTATTTGTTTTATTTTAACTTTATATTTTTAATTGTTCATTAAGTACAAGTTGAACATATGTGACCTCCTTCTCCCTCAAAGATAGAAAAGGGGAAACCACCTGATGCAGAGAGGGAGGAGGGAAGAGACTATAAAAGTTGATGTGTGGGATAGTGGTGGTCTAATGGATAGTGAGGTGGGCTGAAGATTGGAAGGTTGCGAGTTCAAATCCCTCCAGGAACACCACCACTAGTGTGCCCTTGAGTAAGGCACTTAGCCCTCAGTTACTCCAGGGAGAATGTCCCTGTAATTGGTAATTGTAAGTCGCTTTGGATAAAGGCGTCAGCTAAATGTAATGTAATGTAAGAGAAACAAGGGGGGACTTTTTTGAGGCTTGATTTTGGGTCTTGGTTCTTGGGCCTGGGCTTGGGCTCTTTTAGACGGCTCTAGGGTTTCACTTGTGAACTGTTGCTTTTGTACTTTGACCTTTGTGTCCTTGTAAAACCATTTTGTATCTTTCTTTTGTTATTTTTTGGATTATTGTAAATCCTCCATCTTTGTTAAAAACGTAATAAAACCGGTTTGTACTTTGTACATTTCGACCCAATTCCTGGTCTCTCTGGTGGTCTCTGAAGGTATCTGCTTAGAGTGAGGTAAGAACACCCTTCCTTGGAAAAGGCTGACATTAGTTGATCATTTGGATTTGAAATTGTTTAAGGGGAATAGAAACCCTGTTAAGGTTAAACTATAGTTTCACATTGGTTACTGTGGTTGATGTGGTTTTGATTAATGTTGAAATATGACATGTGCTCTGCTGATGTGGTAATATCACTACTGTGATATTAATGTTTGACTCTGGCTGTGTTTGATATTACTTTTGCATTGTTTTAATTGGTATAACTGGGGATCAAAAGTGGGGGTTAGGGATTGAGGGTCCTGAAGCTGCCCTAATTACCAGGCAGTCTCCCAACGACACAGGGTTCCTCCTCCAGGGGCAGTTTAGATACTGCTCTGGGGTTCTACCAGCCCACCAACACCTACTACACTACACACTCCGTTTTGCTCTCCTGGTGGTCGGGCATCCAACGCTTTAGTGCCTGAAATAAGTGATAGAACGGGCAGCTGGTGTTAGAGGCCACGCTGTAAGTGCCCCCCTGAGCAGATTACGGTGATCTTGCGTGTAGATTCTGGGGGGTTTAGTCCTAGAGTTAGGGCGGCCGTTTTCCGGAGCCTTATCAGCACCAGAGCTCGGTATCGGAGACGACCTAGATATTAACGTTGGTTGTATCGAAGTTAGATTCCTTTTCAAAAGTAAAGTTTGTTTTATCTTTAATACTTTTTTATGCATGTAACATTGAGCTATCTTTGGCTCTTTTCTGCTGTAACTATGTAAATGTCCCCTCTGTGGGACTAATAAAGGTATTCTGATTCTGATTCTGATTCTGTATTAGACAATATAAAATCTTGATCTGATAAAATAATAATAATAATACATTTTATAGCACTTTTCCTAATGCTCTGAGACGCTTTACAAAAAATCAGAACAGAAACAATACAATAGTTTCTGTGTGTCTTTTATGACTTTTATGACTATTCATAAAAGACTCAACGAATAGTCAGATTATCTCAATTTAACAAGATTAATAAATAATTTTTCAAGACATAAACATGCAATTGACGTCTCTAAGCTGTTGACCGATCACAACAGAGCCAGCCAGCTAACCAATCAGAGCAGACTGGGCTCTGGTTTCAGACAGAAGGTGAAAAGAGGTGCTGCAGCACAGGCAGTATGAGAAAAATAAAGAGCTTTTTGAACATTAAAACATGGAGACATGTCCCAGTAGAGACACTACATACTGATATACACCTGAACATCAGCAGGAGAGCACTCTTTAAAGTAGAGACACTACATACTGATATACACCTGAACATCAGCAGGAGAGGACTCTTTAAAGTAGAGACACTACATACTGATATACACCTGAACATCAGCAGGAGAGGACTCTTTAAAGTAGAGACACTACATACTGATATACACCTGAACATCAGCAGGAGAGGACTCTTTAAAGTAGAGACACTACATACTGATATACACCTGAACATCAGCAGGAGAGGACTCTTTAAAGTAGAGACACTACAGACAATATATATTAACCTGAAAATGAGCACAAAGGGCCCCTTTAAGTTTAGGTTGGGATGTATTTGCCTTACAGTAACCACTTTATGAAGCTGGTGAGATGCCAGGTGATGTTTTGAGTGTGTGCAGCGAGAAAGCGTCATTAGGCAGACATGTTTGTGTGTGAATCTTAGTGGAAAATCATCCCATCATGCCAGATGTCTCTCCTGGGGCCGGAGCGGGACATCATCCAGCAGGGATAGAGTTTAACTAAGCCCTTTCAGCTCCGCAGCACAAAAACAACTTATATGATCCCTCCTGATGATGAATACATCACTACGGTTTTTATGCAATAACTGCACAAAAAGATTGTTGATTAATGTCCGGTCTAAGTTGCATCTACTCATTGTGCATGATACCCCGTGGCAAAGTCTTACAAAGATTATGCAATATACAGTATTTCTTGGATGCAAGCCAAAGCAATCAATTAGGCTGGACATGCTTTGCACACACATCACCAAGGCTACTATCGCCAACAATAAGGCCACTTACACAACTTTAATATATGGACCTGTTCTCCATGACGTCCCTATAGGTTTCCGATGTTAACATGTTTCTGCTGTAAAGTTGGGGCTTTTAACATGGGGTCTAAAGACATTTCACAAGTTCTTATATTGAAGAGGACATATTATTCACATTTTCAGGTTCATATCTGTATGTAGTGTCTCTACTTTAAAGAGTCCTCTCCTGCTGATGTTCAGGTGTATATCAGTATGTAGTGTCTCTACTTTAAAGAGTCCTCTCCTGCTGATGTTCAGGTGTATATCAGTATGTAGTGTCTCTACTTTAAAGAGTCCTCTCCTGCTGATGTTCAGGTGTATATCAGTATGTAGTGTCTCTACTTTAAAGAGTCCTCTCCTGCTGATGTTCAGGTGTATATCAGTATGTAGTGTCTCTACTTTAAAGAGTCCTCTCCTGCTGATGTTCAGGTGTATATCAGTAAGTAGTGTCTCTACTTTAAAGAGTCCTCTCCTGCTGATGTTCAGGTGTATATCAGTATTTACTGTCTCTACTTTAAAGAGTCCTCTCCTGCTGATGTTCAGGTGTATATCAGTATGTAGCGTCTCTACTTTAAAGAGTCCTCTCCTGCTGATGTTCAGGTGTATATCAGTTTGTAGTGTCTCTACTTTAAAGAGTCCTCTCCTGCTGATGTTCAGGTGTATATCAGTATGTAGTGTCTCTACTTTAAAGAGTCCTCTCCTGCTGATGTTCAGGTGTATATCAGTATGTAGTGTCTCTACTTTAAAGAGTCCTCTCCTGCTGATGTTCAGGTGTATATCAGTATGTAGTGTCTCTACTTTAAAGAGTTCTCTCCTGCTGATGTTCAGGTGTATATCAGTATGTAGTGTCTCTACTTTAAAGAGTCCTCTCCTGCTGATGTTCAGGTGTATATCAGTATGTAGTGTCTCTACTTTAAAGAGTTCTCTCCTGCTGATGTTCAGGTGTATATCAGTATGTAGTGTCTCTACTTTAAAGAGTCCTCTCCTGCTGATGTTCAGGTGTATATCAGTTTGTAGTGTCTCTACTTTAAAGAGTCCTCTCCTGCTGATGTTCAGGTGTATATCAGTATGTAGTGTCTCTACTTTAAAGAGTTCTCTCCTGCTGATGTTCAGGTGTATATCAGTATGTAGTGTCTCTACTTTAAAGAGTTCTCTCCTGCTGATGTTCAGGTGTATATCAGTATGTAGTGTCTCTACTTTAAAGAGTCCTCTCCTGCTGATGTTCAGGTGTATATCAGTATGTAGTGTCTCTACTTTAAAGAGTCCTCTCCTGCTGATGTTCAGGTGTATATCAGTATGTAGTGTCTCTACGTGTCTCCATGCTTTAATGTTCAAAAAGCTCTTTATTTTTCTCATACTGTCTGTGCTGCAGCACCTCTTTTCAACCTCTGTCTGAAACCAGAGCCCAGTCTACTCTCATTGGTTAGCTGGCCGGCTCTGTTGTGATTGGTTAAACGCTTAGAGATGTCCCGCCTCTTAGCCTATCACGTACAATGTGTTGGAGTGCTCGCCAATTCAAGCGCGAGTGTACGTAGTGATGTCCTATGTTACAGAAAAAAACAAAGGAGTCCAGTGGAGGCGTTTCGGGCAAAGGGGCGGGAGTGTGTGGGAGAGAAACTCCCTCTGGAGGGAACACAGGGATTTCATGCACACAAACCTATATAACACACTACAGGAAAGGAAAACCCCCAAAAAAGCCTCATAAGGATTTCAGAATTCATTGAGAAACTAAAGTCACACTAACCAAGCCTTAGACTAAAAAATATTTGGCTGAAAAAATATGATACAGGGATAATAATACTGTAAATGTATGATAAAAATATAGGTCTTACTGTCAGGAGGCTGGGATAGTGTGTGTGTGTGTGTGTGTGTGTGTGTGTGTGTGTGTGTGTGTGTGTGTGTGTGTGTGTGTGTGTGTGTGTGTGTGTGTGTGTGTGTGTGTGTGTGTGTGTGTGTGTGTGTGTGTGTGTGTGTGTGTGTGTGTGTGTGTGTGTGTGTGTGTGTGTAGGGGAGGGGAGGGGAGGGGAGGGGACAAGAGCTGGACAAGCTGTTCATGCTGTGTGTGTTTCTGTCCTTCTGCATTTGATGATAGGATTGAAAGGACCCACACCCGGTGAAATTGGACAGATGTTTTAAGAACCGGCTATCTTTCTTAAACATGACGTGAGATTGGATTAACGCATCGGGACAATATCAGGCTGTTTCATCTTCTGTTGATCAAACATGGCATGGCATTGTCACTGATAGGAGGTCTTAACATTTGTTTTTTAGCATCTGTGCAAATCTCAGTTTCTTTTCTAATTGTGCAAGTAAAACATTTGCAACAATATCAGCTTTATGGATTTGAAATTGTAATAGTTTTTTCCAAGATTATTAATAGACAGAGATGGGGAGTAACAACGTTTATGTTAATACACTTGAAATGTTTGAACTACATTTGACCATCCCTGCACACCTTTTCTTTGGATAAAGGTTAAATATGATTTGTTAGAGAGATATCTTTGTGTGAAAGACTCACTTGAGATGCATTTTTTTTGCCATGTGACTCCTCATCATATTCAGGTATAATTTTGTGTCACATAGACATCAACAATGTAACGCTGTAAAAGTGATTTCTCCCTATTGAAATTGTTCTGTTAAAATAATTCTTCTTCGGGGAAATTATTGTTAGATTGCAAAGATTTGCTTTTTAAAGTAACTCCCTGAAAATGTCATATTTAAGTGGACATGCGAGCACTGAGGCGTCCGTTAGCCTTTCTCCTGACAGCATGAACTCCCATGAACCACCGACCGAAAGCATCATGCGGCCTCGGGTGATGGGTTTCATCCTCAGCATCGCTTCTGGCCTCATCATCTCCACCAACCTGCTGGTGGCCGCCGCTCTCCTGAAGCTGCTCCTGAAGAAGAGGAGCCAGAGCTGGGTCTTCGTCCTCAATTTAGCACTAGCCGACGCCCTGGTGGGAGTGGCCATCACCGGCCTCGCCACCGAGGACTTCAACGGCAACAGCGTCACTTCTGATCCTCCAACAAACTCAGAGCCTCCAGCCAGAGGTGGGAAGTAGTGGAGTACAAATACTTTGTTGCTGTACTTAAGTACATGTTTCTGGTATCAGTAATTTACTCCACTACTTATTCTTCTGACAACTTTTTACTTTTACTTCTTACATTTTGAACACAAATACCTGTACTTTCTACTTCTTAGATTTTGAACACAAATACCTGTACTTTCTACTTCTTACATTTTGAACACAAATACCTGTACTTTCTACTTCTTACATTTTGAACCCAAATACCTGTACTTTCTACTTCTTACATGTTGAACACAAATACCTGTACTTTCTACTTCTTACATGTTGAACACAAATACCTGTACTTTCTACTTCTTACATGTTGAACACAAATACCTGTACTTTCTACTTCTTACATGTTGAACACAAATCCCTGTACTTTCTACTTCTCACATGTTGAACACAAATACCTGTACTTTCTACTTCTTACATGTTGAACACAAATACCTGTACTTTCTACTTCTTACATGTTGAACCCAAATACCTGTACTTTCTACTTCTCACATTTTCCAAACAGGCTGGTTCCTTTAGTTTGAATGTGTGTTTGGTGGCGTGATCATTATTATTTAGAGTCATTGCGTGCCTATTGATTTGAACACGATCCGTGTATCCATCATTTCCTGGTCTTCTCTAAAGAAGAGGGACCAATGAAAACGTTGTCATGTTGCCATTGTTCAGCATGGAAACATTCATTAGCTGACATTATTGTTCTATTAATATAAAGGGAGGTCAGCACTGTTCGAAATGGGGGGGAGCCAGGGGGAGCTTGGCTCCCCTAAAGAGGGGGGGAGCTCCCCTGAAGGCCGACTTTGAGATAAATAGGGGGAGCCCAAAAAAATCGTGCATATTTGTGTCACACAGATTAGAAATGTTGAGTTTCTGTAAATAACAGTTCTTGAAATAAATAATAGTTATAGTTCATTACAGTTTCAGAATATTTGTTTTATATTTGTGAATATTTCTGGGTGTTGCCATCTGTGCATGGTGGCGCTGCATTCTTTAAGGCACGGACACACCAGGCCGATTATCGGCGTTGGTGGGCGTCAGGCCGACGATGAGCGTTGACACGCCCTGCTCAGATTGGTGTGTCCCGCACCGTCGGGTCTTTTCAGCCGTACCGACGCCTTTTCGGCCGAAAGGGCAGTCGGCCAAAGGCAGTCGGCAAAAGACTGCCTTTGGCTAGCGAATCAGTGCAGAATGAGAAGCGAAACGGAAGTGAGGGACCCAAACAAACTATTAAGAAGGCAAATCTGAGATTTCATTTAACTCCAGCTCTCGACACAGGTTCGGGAAAACGAAAACAGCCAAGCCTCGCAGCTTTTGGATTCACAAGCAAAGAAGCGAAGGAGTCTAAAAATGACAACGTGAACGGAACAACTTTTAGTTGGCCGGCTGTAAGCGGCGTTAGGGTCGAGTTTGACAGCTCCACACCGAGGAAGAGGCCTGCCGATGCGGAGCCTGAAGAGGCTTCAACAACGGCCACAGCCGCCGGCATAGTAATACCGTCTGTAGTAGTAGCAGAGTGATTTTATAGCAATTGATCGAATCCGCGCTGCTGCGCCAGTCAACAGAGCGTGCGTGTGACATATTTAGTAGCAGGATGTGCACTGAAAAATAGGGCTCCCCCGAAAGCAAATGGGTAATTCGAACACTGGAGGTCAGGTACTCCTTAAAACAGCTGCTAGTTATGGGTACTTTTTACTTAAGTACATTTCAAAGCCCTCTTTACTTTTACTTGAGTAAAGAAGTTTAGTCAGTACTTCTACTTTTACCAGAGTATTTTTAAACACGAGTATCTGTACTTCTACTTGAGTAAAGGATGTGTGTACTTTTGCCATCTCTGCCTGCAGCTCAGGGAAAGATCAGGTGTTTGATGCGGATGGCCTTCGTGACGTCGCCCTGCACAGCATCCATCATGTCCATGTTCCTCATCTCGCTGGATCGCTACGCAGCCATCAAGATGCCCCTGAGGTACTCCCAGCTGGCGGGGAAGGGGACAGCGGTCGGGTCCCTGCTGGCTGTCTGGATCAGCTCCCTCACCCTGGGGTTCTTGCCAGGTGAGATGAAAAAAATATAAAAATGTATGGGATTAAATAAATCATCCTCGCTCTGATCATGCATGTAGTTCTAAAAGGTTTTTGCCTATCGTATAAACATTGATTTAGGGGTTCTTGTTTAACTGTTGTTACCTCTTTTCCTTAACCTAAGCAAGTCATTGTGTTGTAAAGCTAAACTTAGCAACCCATTTTGATGTATGCTTGTAACGAGCCAAATCAAGCCATTCACCAGTATGGGTACTTAATAAATAATTAAAATGGTTTTGAAGTTTTTTTTACCAAATGTTCTGGCGGCATATTGACTATGAGAAGTGTCACATGACCAATCATCTTTTTGTCTCTGTTCCTCAGTGATGGTGCGGCAGCTCCAGACGAAGGATTACGGCGGCTTCTGTGCCTTTTTCTCTGTCATTAACCACATGGGCATAATCATGTTGTTCAGCGCGTGCTTCTTCCCCGTGCTCTCTGTATTCGTTTACATCTACCTGGACATCCTGAAGATCGCCTGCAGCCACCAGAAGCAGATCTGCCAAGTTAGGCAGGCCGGTTCGAGGACGGGTGACCGCCAAGATTACGAGAACCATCCCCACCAGCCACACCAGCAGCTGAGGAGCCACTACTGGAGCCACGTCAAGGCCCTGAGGACAGTGGGGGTGTTGGTGGGCTGCTTCTTGGTCCTCTGGTGCCCCTTCTTTGTGGCGTGCATCGTGCATCTTCTGTGTGAAAGCTGCCAACTCAAAGGTGTCTTAGAGAATTATTTGTGGTTGTTGGGACTGTCGAACTCTCTGATCAACCCCCTGGTGTACGCCTTCTGGCAAAGGGAGGTGCGACTGCAGTTAGCCTCCTTGTGTTCCTGCTTTAGGGCGTTGGCTGCTAGGCCTCCATGTTTCACAGAGAGATGTGACCCCCAGCCTCCTGTGCTGAATCAAGCTGGTGCTCCTGCAGGAGAAAACCTCAACCCGTCGTTGTTGCGGGCGATTTCAGTCAACGACAAGGCTCAAACTGTGCCACTATCTGCCTCCACCGGATTGTGAAAGGAACCAGTGAAAAGGTGGCAACAAAAACATGGCTAGACAGATAGTCATTGTTAATTTCAGATAATGGAAACTATTGATGTGTTTCAAATTGCGTAGTACTACTGTTCTTTGGTTTGCTGTTTTGAGTGTGTAAGTGAGTCCCAATGCAAAGTATGTCAAAATGCTCTAAGAACCTGGATTGTGCACTCAAAACAGTCAAATAAATTAGTGTGGGACGCTGCACACATCTCACACTTAAAGACCGCCATTTTGGCTACGTAAAGGAAGTTGTAAGACGAGCAGTGATTGAGGTTCCCTTGGAAACAAAGCCCTATACAAATAAGAGTAACATAAATATTATTTATTTCACTAACAGACCCCTGGCCTATACTGGTGCCAAAAGGGATCCGCCGTGATTTTGATAGGGTTAATTGAGCAGTCTGTACAACCCAGTCTCACGGCATTTCGTGTTATTAGTCACGAAATTAATTTAATCTATTGATTCGTGTTCACCAACACGATTTTCACCTTTTTTTCGTGTCACACAGAACGATTTTAAATGCAATGTATTTCTATTGGTAGTATGTTTCGTGCCTGCAACACGTCTTTTTGTCCGGTCGGGTCTTGGAAGACCGGAAGCTGTGTGGTTCATAAAAACATGTTCTTACTCAATATCTTACCCTAAGCCTAACCCTATCCCTTTTATTGTAAATTGTATAATGTCTGAGTTTTTTTGACGTCAGTGAGGAAAAGAAATGGCTCAGAGCCTCAGAATACTGACATCTGTATTTTATGTCATCTTTTTTTCCTTCTAATTTGTTATTATTTGGTGCAGGCACGAAACACACTACCAATATAAATACATTGCTTCTAAAATCGTTCTGTGTCAGAATACTTAAATCTGTATTTTTTTTAAATGTCTTTTTCCTTCTAATTTGTTATTATTTACATTGCTTTTAAAATCGTTCTGTGTGACACGAAAAAAATGGCGAAATCGTGTTGGTGAACACGAATCAATAGATTAATTTCGTGACTATAACACGAAATGCCGTGAGACTGTGTTGGTCTGTAATGATGTGCTACCGCTAACAATTGCTGCTATCTAGCTAACAACGGCTATTGTGATTTAACACAACAGTACATGGTGGAAATTCACGCACTGCAAAATATGCAGTGTACTAAGAAAAGTAATCAAATTGAGATACAGCATATGAGATAGCAAGATGATAAGTAAGCACCAATTCATTAAACACTAAATCTGATTATATCTAAAGCAATGTTGTTGCTGAAATGTAGACCTTACCTAAATCTCTCTGCATTTCCTGTGATGCCATGTCAGGAATCCAGTGGGCTTTATGCAGGAAGCAAAGTACGAATATTGTATTTTTTGTTTACTGATGGGTCAGAGGTCAGTGGCAGTATGTTGGGAAAATACTGAATGTTCCTTCTGTATCAGAGTAGCACATCATAACAGAGGCCCTACGTAGCTGTGTACGTAGCCGGATGTATGACTACATGGATGACGCTCATGAGACACTGTGTTGAAGTTATGATAGCTATGTTCCTCAGATTGGCATGATGACACAGCCCCTAGAGAGATAGATGACGTCATGTTTATTGCTTACGCAGGCCTTAGCTAATCTGAACTAATGTCAGAATACTGCTTTGAACCAGTATTCTTCCATCTTGTTGACTGTAACACCCTCTCTTGTATATAAGCATCTGAAGGACACTGTTCTGTGAACTATTTGTCCCACGCAGCCCTGTGTGTGATGACTACTTCCATTCTTGCAAGGATAATAAATACATGTATCCTGATATTGAAGACCAAGCCGGTGACGAGTGACATTTGTCTAACAGTTTGTAATCCACAAGGCTCCACAATGGGACTTTTGATCACACTTAATTGAATATCCCGCAGAGACACTGTGCAGCCGGGAACAACCCACCAGACAGTGGGCTGTGATGTTAATAAACCAAAAGAAAGAATCAATAAATAATTTATGGTCTGACTTCCAAAAACTGGAAATGTAAGAGTATTTTCTTTTTTTGCATATATATACTAAGGTTACACCAGGAACTCATATTCTCATCCAGCATTTAAGTCCATCTTTATACACCACCTTATTTTGGTCATTATATCTTTCTTATCTCTCCTATGCCAGTTATATTGGGGCAATAAAGATCAAAGATAGTGTACAGCAAAGGTCATGAGACAAACTGGAACCCATGACATTATGCATGATTTGTATGCCTTGTCCCTGCTTGTTTTATACTGCTTTATGACATCCATATGATTTATTTAGCTCTGCTGTTTATCCTTTGAGCTGCTATCGCACACTTAATATTTCATAGCTGGATAACTATTCAGTCATGGAAACTTCCTCTGCGGCTTGAAGCTTGATAAATATCGTCCACTTTAAGTGTCAGCAGCCTGTATCAACAAAGCGCATGTCAGGGATGTCTGTTTACTTTAGACTGCAGTGTCTACATAAAGCTAATCAGCTGAGGCGGAAACGGACCTTCAACCATCCTTTTATATAAGTGAAAATGTTGTTATTCTACCCATCTCTGATGAGGCATGCGCAGAAGCAAATAGTAGTTGAAATGCATGGTCTGAAACACAATTAAAACACACAAAATGCAAAATATTTATTTAAAAAAATGCTGAAAAAAAAAATTCAATGGAGAAAAATATTATTGATTTTAGACAGGAATGCTCTCTGGAAATGTTATGACTGCAAATAAAACTTCAACTCAACTACAAACTCAAACAGGTATGAGGTGTGTGTGTGTGTGTGTGTGTGTGTGTGTGTGTGTGTGTGTGTGTGTGTGTGTGTGTGTGTGTGTGTGTGTGTGTGTGTTAGCTTCGCTGCTTCTGCATCCTCAGCGGGTTGAAGAACGGATGCCACAGCGCCTCCTCCAGCGTGATCCGTCTGTACACGTCGTACTCCAACATGGAGCCCAGCAGGTCGAAGAAATCCTCCTCGCTCTGATCATGCATGTAGTTCTAAAAGACACAGTTACTTTATTTTAGTTACTTCCTGCTCACGGCTGCAGCTGATTGGCTGAAGTGTTTTGCTGTACCTTGAGAGGTTTAAGGTGTTTCCTGATATAATCGTCAGAAGTGCTGCTTTTGTCCCAGTTCAGATGCCCGTTGTGCACGTAATGCTGCTTTCTACACAGAATGAGATACATTCACATATATTTAGGAACGATATACTAACATGCATATGTGTGCATACAATGCAACATTTCACAACATGGGACTCACATAATGGCCTTTAATATTTAAAAGATTGAATATATCTATATATTAAAGAAAAGAATAGAACTTGTTACAATTCCAAGTTTAGCAAGATTATACTTTTGCGTAAAGGCAGAAAAAATGATGTTTAGGATTCTCTTCTCTCTGTGTGTGTGTGTGTGTGTGTGTGTGTGTGTGTGTCTTTTTGTGTGTGTTTGTTACCTGGTTTTTTTCAGCAGGTGGGGAGGAATCGGCCCCAGGATTATCTCCATCATGGCCAGATGTTCTTTACTGTCGTGGGTCTAGAACAACAAAAACACAGGGTAAAAAGAAGTACAAATGTTTCCAGTTGTGTGTGTGTGTGTGTGTGTGTGTGTGTGTGTGTGTGTGTGTGTGTGTGTGTGTGTGTGTGTGTGTGTGTGTGTGTGTGTGTGTGTGTGTGTGTGTGTGTGTGTGTGTGTGTGTGTATTTACCGGGAAGACTGTGCATCCCAGGTAAAACTCCATGAGAACGCAGCCTAGACTCCAAACGTCACACGACTGGTTCCAGCCCAAACCTGTGCACAAAAACAAAGTTAAAACAAAACCAAAACTTGGTTAATTTCACGTGTGTGTGTGTGTGTGTGTGTGTGTGTGTGTGTGTGTGTGTGTGTCTATGTGTGTGTCTATGTGTGTGTGTGTGTGTGTGTGTGTGTGTGTGTGTGTGTGTGTGTGTGTGTGTGTCTATGTGTGTGTCTATGTGTGTGTGTGTGTGTGTGTGTGTGTGTGTGTGTGTGTGTGTGTGTGTCTATGTGTGTGTCTATGTGTGTGTGTGTGTGTGTGTGTGTGTGTGTGTGTGTGTGTGTGTGTGTGTGTGTGTGTGTGTGTGTACCTAGGATGACCTCTGGAGCTCGGTAGTGGCGTGTTGACACCAGTGATTCATGTTTTTGGTGGTCAAATGTGGCCGTACCAAAATCCACCACCTTTAAATCCAGACTCCTTAGGGTCTTCTCCTTACACTCCTAAAACACACACACACACACACACACACACACACACACACACACACACACACACACACACACACACACACACACACACACACACACACACACACACACACACACACACACACACACACACACACACACACACACACACACACACACACACACACACACACACACACACACACACACACACACACACACACACTGCTAAACACTATCCAACTTGAGATGAGAGCACAATGTGTTTTATTGTTTTAACAATCCTTACCCTGTTCTCGTTGTACTGCAGGTCGTAGTCGGAGCAGACAAACAGGATGTTCTCTGGCTTCAGGTCTGTGTGCGTCAGCTTGTTTCGATGCAGGACTGTAAGACACACAAAATCACACACTGTTATTGTGTGTTTGCTCAAAGCTTTTTGTCTTTTCACAGTTGCTAAAGTTAGGAGTTAGGAGCATCAGGCTCTCCAGTTAGGTATTATTTAACCATTGCAGAAGAAGAGGGATACATTTGAATACTTAACAGAGTGTCAATCCCACCTCATTCGTTGACAAAACACGATAGAAATATAACATTTATGTTTTCACCAAAGCATTAACTTTTTAATCCAAGCCAAACATACATTTATTGGGATATATCAACTTTTTTTTTTAAGTTGTAAAAATAAATTGCACATCAGTTAAACAGGTGGATGTAAAAAGCAGTTAAAGGTGGGGTATGTCATTTTGGAGAAACCGGCTCGAGATCGCTAGAATTTGAAAATACACAGCCGGAAAAAATCTGCCACTTCCTTACAGAGCCCCTCCTCCAACACACACGAACGCGCACATGACCAATGAGGGCACGAGATAAGTTTGTGCCCCGATGGAAGGCTGACAGGCAGGTAGGCCATCCAGTTATTTTAGCCAGGCCGGCTCAGATGATTGGTCGTGCTTTTTACAGTACTACGGCTTCCACAGATGACATTTTTTTATGGATTTTTTGTCAAAGCACTTCAGATATTCATTGCTATCGGGATGTTAAGAGCATTCCATGGAATATAACAAAAAGTGTATCTCGAGCCGGTTTCTCAAACTTACCTACCCCACCTTTAATGTAACAAGAGGAACATTTTACAATTGTAATTTTGCTGATTCTCTTACACAACACACCCTGAACTTATACAGATAAGCTCCAATTCAAAGATGACGCCAATAAAAGT